ATCTTTCTCCTTTGTTTTGTTAATGTGGTGTATCATATTGACTGATTTGCAGAAGTCGAACCATCCTTGCATCCCTGGAATAAATGGCACTTGATCATGTGTATGATTCTTTTAATGTATTATTGAATGTGGTTTGCTAATATTTTGAGGATTTTTGCATCTGTATTCAATAGGGATATTGGCCTGTAATTTTCTTTTCTTGTGTCATCCTTAGTCTGGTTTTGAAATCAGGCTAATGTGGGCCTCATAAAAGGAGTGTGAAATTCCTTCTTCTTCTCTTTTTTTGTAAAAATTTAAGAAAGATCATTATTCTTCTTTGAATATTTGGTAGAATTCACCAGTGAAGCTGTCTGGTCTTGGACTTTTTTTTTGTTAGGACCTTTGTGATTACTGATTCAATCTCGTTAGTAACTGTTTTGTTCAGATTTTCTATTTCATCATGATTCAGTCTTGTTAGGTTGTATGTTTCTAGGAATTTACCCATTTCTTCTAGGTTGTCCAAGCTATTGGCCTGTAATGTTCATAGTAGTCTCTTATGACCCTTTGTATTTCTATGGTAATCGGTTGTAACATTTCTTTCCTTTCTGATTTTTATTCCAGTTCTCTTGTTTTTTTCTTTGGTGAGTCTCCCTAGAGGTTTGTTAATTTTATCTTTTCAAAGAACCAGCTTTTAGTTTCATTGATCTTTTTACTGTCTTTTTAGTCTCTATTTCATTTATTTCTGCTGTAATCTTTATTATTTTCTTCCTTCTACTAACTTTGGGCTTCATTTGTTCTTCTTTTTCTAGTTTCTTAATGTATAAAGTTAGATTGAGACTTATTTTTCAAGATAGGCATTTATCACTATGAACTTAGAACTGCTTTTGCTGCATCCCATAAAGTATAGTATGTTACATTTCCATTTTCATTTGTCTCAAGGTATTTTTTTATATCTTTGACCTGTTGTTCAGTAGCATGTTGTTTAATCTCCACATATTTGTGAGTTTTTAAGTTTTCCTTGTGTAATTAATTTCATACCAGTGTGGTTGGAAGATACTTACATGATTCAATCATTTTGAATTTATTAAGACTAGTTTTGTGGGTGCCTGGGTGGCTCAGTTGGTTAAGCGACTGCCTTCGGCTCAGGTCATGATCCTGGAGTCCCTGGATCAAGTCCCGCATCAGGCTCCCTGCTCGGCAGGGAGTCTGCTTCTACCTCTGACCCTCCCCCCTCTCATGTGTTCGCTCTCTCTCATTCTCTAATAAAATCTTAAAAAAAAAAAGACTAGTTTTGTGACATGATGTGATGAGCACTGTTATACACAAGTAATGAATCATTGAACATTATATCAAAAACTAAAGATGTACTATACATTGGCTGATTTAATTTAAAAAAAAGACTTGTCTTGTAGCGTAACATATAATGTATCTTGGAAAATGTTCCATGTGCTCCTGAGAATGTGTATTCTGTTGCCTTAGGCTGGAATGTTCTGTAAATATCTGTTAAGTCTATCTGGCCCAACATATCCTGTAAGGCCAATGTTTCCTTATTTTCTGTCTGGATGATCTATCCATCAATGGAAGGCCCTACTATTGTTGCACTGCTGTCTATTTCTCCCTTTATTACTTTTTAAAAAGTTTAACATACAGTGCAATATGTTTCTGGAGTTATTTCTCCCTTCATTCCTGTTTAATATTTGCTTTACATACTTAGGCACTCCTAAGTTGGGTGCATAAATATTTACAAATGTTATCTTTTTTTTTTTTTTTAAGATTTTAATTTATTTGACAGAGATGGAAAGCACAAGTAGGTAGAGTAGCAGGCAGAGGGAGAGGGAGAAGCAGACTCCCTGCTGAGCAGGGAGCCCGATGCAGGGCTTGATCCCAGACTCTGATCATGAACGGAGCCGAAGGCAGATGCTTAATCAACTGAGCCACCCAGGCGCCCCCAGATGTTATATCTTCTTGTTGGATTGACCCCTTTATCATTATGTCATGTCCTTCTTTGTCTTTTATTAGTCTTTGTTTTAAAGTCTATTTTATCTGATATAAGTATAGCTACTCCAGCTTTCTTTTGGTTTCCATTTGCATGGAATATCTTTTTTCATCCCTTAACTTTCAGTCTTGTGTGTCCTCACATCTATAGTGACTGTCTTGTAGGCAGCATATAGGTGGGTCTTGTCATTCTATCCATTCAGCCACTCTGTGTCTTTTGATTGGAGAATTTAGTCCATTTACATTTAAGGTAATTGATAGGTAAGTGCTTATTGACATTTTGTTAATTATTTTCTGTTTTTGTAGTTCCTCTCTTCTTTTCTTGCAGTCACAAAAATTGGGGCACCAGACTGAGTATGAGCTCCCTTTGGAGGTGACACCAAATACTACAGTCCCATGAGACCAGGAACATAAGCTTCCCTGGCCTCCAGAGCCAGATGATCCAGAAGCATCCCCTAGGTGGCAGCCACAAAAATGGAAACACCAGAGGCATGTAAAAGCTCATTTATGAGAGATACTGGTGCTCTGGAGCATGGTAAAGGGAGACTGCAAAGATGGCACCTGCCAGTTTCCTCTCTGGAATGTTCCAGCAGGCTCCTAAGTATATATTCAATTAGATGCTTGCTCCTCAGACCAATGTTTTAATAGAAGCAGGTGAGCCTCCTTCACCGGCTATCCGCTGCCTCTGAGCCCTGTAAGAGCAGTTTCTCAGATCACTTCAGTCTTTTGGGTCTTAGGACTCAGGCCCCTGTTGGTTTTCAGGTGTATGTTTTGAGGAGTTGTCTCTCAAGTGTAGGTCTTAAAAGTTGGTATACCTGATGTGGGTTTGAACACATTGCTCTTCAGGGAGAAGCTCCCGGTTTTGAGTTCCTTCCCAGTTGTGGGTCACTGTGCCAGGGGTGGGCTTTATTGTGAAATTGTGTTCCAACTCTTTAACATGCCTTGATGTAGTTTTCTTCTTGTTTGCCAGGTGTGTAGTTGTCACTCAGCCAACCTTTGTTTTTTAAGAGGAAATCGTTCCATTCTAGCTGGACTCAATGTGTCTCTGGGAGGAAGCAAGTTCAAGGTCTCCTATGGTGCCACTTTGAACCAGAACCTCCCAGCACGTTTGTATAAGTGGTCCTCACAACCCTGTGGGTAATCTGTCCCTTTTTTTTTTTTCCTTCTGAAGGAGAAAACAGTGTTTCATAGGGTTATATACTTCACCAAAATTAAGAACACATCTAGGAGGGCTATTCATCAAAAGCTCCTTTCCTAATAACTATTCATTCTACCCAAGTGGAAAAAATGTTATAACCAGCTACTTACTTATGCAAAGGGAGAAAAAACAAAATGGAGCTTTTCTGCATTGCAGCAGTTGGAAAAATGAAGTAGATGGCTGACTAATCAACACTAAAATTTGTAAAAACAATTTTTAAAACAGCACAAAAGTGGCATTTTATTCTACTTTAAATACTGGCCATATCTTAACTAAGCAGCTTATTTTCCTGGATTTAATTTCATCTGGAAATAAATTTTTGACCACACTATTAAATAGGCTAGGGTTGAAGCCATTTTATAATTTACTTCATAAACATACATTTGCTTTATACAAAAGCAAGGTGTCCAAGACTACCAGCAAAGTAGTTTAAGTTGAAATTACACAATACTGCCAGATAGATAATACTTTGATCGTGTCAGTGGCTCCCTGGTACTTACTGAATACAATTTAAACTCCTTGCTCTGGCACTGAAGACCCCTACAATGTACCTATTTCAAACTTGCCTTAATTACTAAATCTGACAAACTCCTTTAGTAATCCCAGCTCTTTCACACATCACCCTATCCATGTGCTAACAGCTCACATCCAGAAATAACCTTTTCCTGAGATTCCATGCCTTTCAGCTCACCATTCCCAAGGCATTTCTCATGGCACTGTCCAATTTATGTGCATGTCTTACCAACTTTAGTATACTGAAACCCTAAGCCCAAGTGTGTATGTGTGCATATACTTTATCTTTCATTATCAGACATAATAGGCACTTGGAAGTATTTTTCTACAATATCTCCTCCTCTATAGAGAAGACTTTAAGGCTGGGAAAGAGCAGAAAGAGTGAAGGAGGCACAGCGGTCCCACTGATCCCAGTAAGTTACACGTGTATAATGCTTTCTGGTTTATAAAAAGCTTTCACATGCATTTCTCCCAATGACATAAAAAAATACCGAAGAAAAATGAGCAATGTTTAAGATCAAGGCTATGAGCCAATATTTAGGAAAAATAGAGAAAAGGAAATTGCTAGCTTTGTGGAAGTAACAAAAGATTAAGGAAATGTTAAAAGGCTAGAAAAGATTAAGTGGAGAAAGCCTGCAAAAGTTTGGAAAGCTACAAACTTTTAAATTAGACTGCAGTGGGGGGAAATGAAGGCAATGAAAGACTGCAGGAAAGTGGTAAGAGGGAAAGCCCCAGAATCTGCAGTCTCTTGTCAGCCTGTGTTGCTTCAGAGTAGGAACCCAGAAAGGGCACTTGAGAGCACAGGGAACACTATGCCGGTGACTGAACAAAACATGGCCCTGAGATCCAAGAGAAATGGAATCCATTCTTGGCACAGCCTGGTAAAGTTGGAAGCTGGTGATATCAGGAAGATGTCAGCCTTTGAAGAACTCAGTAGAAGGTGATTTGGGTGCAAACGAGATATCACAAAATTCTTATTGTGGCTTCACATGTTGATACTTTGGACATTGTGGAGTATGATTCCAATGTAATTCTGAACAGATACATTTTCTCCTACTGCCCATACTTGGGCTCCCATCCTCATTGGCTGCCTCTGACTTTATCTTCCTATCCTGACGCATCCAAAGAGCAGTTCTGAAAACATGAAGATTGTTATAAATATCTGGAGGAAATCATAAGCTGTGATTCAAGTTGGCTCAAAGTTGGGAGGGAGGGATATAGATGGTGTCTTGGCAATTTGTTGGGCCCAAGATAACTAAAAGGTGAGAAACAAGCTGTTGAACATCAAAGAATTTATATCAAAATTCATAACCAGTTGGATCTGACTTGATCAATTCACTTTTTATTTACCTGAATGTGAAAGGTTTCCCCCTAAAAAGTAGCAAAATTAATGTGAACAAATATAATTAACATCGACTGAAGAATGGAGTTCTATGGATGGAGAAGTCTCACCACATCTGAATGACCAGCTGCTTAAGGCATTCTTCTACAAGTACTATGCTGATGAAGAAATACGGATTCCCCCACCCCAACTCTGACAATCCTATGTACGTGGCAATAAATACACAATTGACCCACAATCTAGAACCTCCAAGAATTATACACAAACACAAGTGGCCTTAGTTAGAAAGGCCTCAGAAATCTAGACATTAGATTTTCAGAGCTATGGAGGTCACTTCACTAGTATATTTAATAAATGTTTATAAGCACCTATACAAAAGGCACAATGGGGAGTGTAAGATGTCATGGATCTGACCAACTGATGGAGGATTCTTTACGGGCAAAGTGGTCAGAGCAGCAGCCCCAGCCTTCTGCCCATGAGACATCCAAAGTGCTGGCTGGAGGTGGTTAGCCAGTCTGGAAGCCCATTTCAGTCTAGTACGTGAGAATAAACATTTCAGGTCCTACCCCTTCCAGACAACTCTCCTGTAGCCTCCCATCAAATAAGCTGTTCCTCAGCCACCTTCTAGAATGTAGAAGAGAATCCATCTCAGCCGGACTGTGTGTCTTCTAACGCAAGATGATGGGAAGTGGTCAATAAAGCCCAGCCCAGTTTCTGTGGTCAGGAAGGGCTGCGGGTGGCTTCGGTTCAATGAGGAATGAGCACCAACTCTGCCACATACGACGTGGGTCACTGTGATAGAACTTTTTTTCCGACGTGGCTTCTCTGATGTTGAACAAGGTATGAAGTTCGGGTGAAGCCTTTTCCACATGTGTCGCACTGATAAGGTTTCTCACCAGTGTGGATTTTTTGGTGTTCAATAAGGCTTCTGTTCCGAGTGAAACTTCTCTCACACTCGTTACATTTATAAGACACGGGAGCCTCAACATTTTCCCACTGGCCTTCCACCCTCCCCTGACCCTCCCAGGTCTCTCCACGTTCAGGATCCTGCACGTTTCTATCGCCATGGGTCCTCTGGTGTCTCAGGAGGTGTGAATTCCGCCTAAAAGCTTTACCACACAGGGTGCACTCATACGGCTTCTCCCCCGTGTGGATTTTGTGATGTTCTAGGAGGCTGCAGCTCTGGCTGAAGGTCTTCCCACAGTCCTCACACTCATAGGGCTTCTCCCCAGTGTGGGTTCTCTGGTGTTTGATAAGGTTTGAGCTGTGACTAAAGACCTTGCCACATTCTTCACACTCATATGGTTTCTCCCCAGTGTGGACTCTCTGATGGATGACGAGGGCAGAGCTCCCGATAAAGGTCTTGCCACAGTCTTCACATTCATAGGGTTTCTCACCAGTGTGGATTCTCCTGTGTTTAGTCAGGCCTGAACTCTGAGCAAAACTCTTTCCACATTCATGACAATAGTGCCGCCTACTTCCTGTGGCATTTTTCTGCTTTCTTGGTAACCTGCCCTCCTGTTCACCAGCTTCTACACAGGCAGGAATCTGGGCAATGTCTTCACTCAAGTGGCACGGTATTTCCCCAGGCTCTTGTCCTGGATGTTCCTCATTTGGGGGCAGGTCTGTGATCTCAGCCTGCATGTTACCGCCTGAAATAACAAGTGGCCAGACATGGTCAGTTATGCCCTGCCACAGAGTTCCACAGACACTGGGATGAGGATTTCCGTGAAAGGATAAGGGTGGGAATAAAGGGGGACAACGGGTGCTGGGGAGGAAGGAGACCGGAGAATAGGCATGGGGCCATCGGGAGCAAGGTGCACACTGGGAGTGGAGGAAGGTGGTGAGGACTGTGCTGGGGACACACAGAGGCTCTAAATCCTAAGGACGAAGGCAGGGCTCTGCACTGGGGCTGGACGCTAGGAGGGCTGGGCAGAAGGCAGCAGGAAGCAGGCAAGTGTAAGGACTTGCGAAACGTTCTGTAAGAAACGGGGCAAGCGGGAACTTAGAAACTGATCCCTAATCAGGGATACAAGCAGTCACTCTGATCCCACACCAGGACTGGCTTCAGTGCTGACAGATGTGAGCTGGGGCTCCCACTGTACCGGATGGAGCGGTGTGAGCTCAGACGAGTCAAGCTGTTGCCCTGTGTCCTGCGCCCTGATCTCTAGGTCAGCTCTGCTGTCCATTCCAGGTCACTTCTTGCTCTCATGCTCTGTGGGCCCAAGGCTGTCGAGGCTGTCGAGGCTGGCAGTGGGGAGGGGATCAACACCGCGCACCTACTGTGAGCGAGGCCTGTGCGGGGGGTTGCATGGGCTGCATCCCACTTCACCTGACCAGAACACGGCAGGACGGGGAAGGAGGCGAGGTCACAGGGGTTAAGGAGCTGGTCACACATGTGGTTAGGAGTTAGGGTTCAGAAATGGTGGCTCTGAATGCAAACAGTTCAAACAGGTTCTCACAGCCCGGTAGGTTCTGACCGATAAAGGAAGCCACGAAACCCTAGGAGAAACCAGCACCCATCCGTCTTACCCAGGGGGGTCAGGCCGCCACAGTTCTGCTGCCTTTCATCTCTGTGGAAGCTCCCCCGAGGTGAATCCAGCTGTGTCCATGCAGGGGAGAAAGCCAGGGCCACGTCTTCCGTTTTCAGCAAGCCCTGAAACAGTACATGATCCCACCTAGCTCCTCTTCCCCAAAGTCACGCCCACAGCTGGGCACAGGAGAGTGAACGTTCCCCTCTCAAGGGGCTCTTTAAAAAGACCAAGTGTGGTGCACTATACCTACTTAACCCTATCTCTAATAACATTTTGGTCAAAAAAATATATATATAACCATTAAGGAAGAAATACCACACACATTTGGAAAAATACTTTCATATAAATATCTAAATAGTTCAGAACGTAAAAGGGTTTGGAAAACAAGGGACAGTACAGGGAAAGGAGGAGAAACATACCCAAACCTTTTAAAATATTTGTGCTGTGCTTTGGCAAAGTGGCCTGGGGGCTTATTTATATTAACGATTTTAAATATACAATGAAATCTAGGTCTAAAGTGAAAAAAAAACCAGGGAAAACATAGATATTATAGGGCCTCAAACACTGAGATCTTCAAGCAGGACATGAAAGACAGGGTAAGGTGTTAAAGTAAAAAGGTTAAGTAAAGAGTGTTCAGATTTTAATATTAAACCTTAGACTAAAGAATATGCCTCATCTGTTCCTTCAAATTTAAGTCCCTAGAGGGCAGAGGCCATGTGCTTATAACTCTAAGAGCATAATTTATGAATCTTTAAAAAACAAAGCTGGGTGCCTGGGTGGCTCAGTTGGTTAAGCAACTGCCTTCGTCATGATCCTGGAGTCCCGGGATCGAGTCTCGCATCGGGCTCCCTGCTCGGCAGGGAGTCTGCTTCTCCCTCTGACCCTCCTCCCTCTCATGCTCTCTGTCTCTCATTCTCTCTGTCTCAAATAAATAAATAAAATCTTTAAAAAAAACAAAAAAAACAAAGCTAAATCATCATTACAACAAAATGTTCGGTTTGTATTTACTAAATCGCCCTGTGGAAGAAGAAAATCCCACTGATAAAGGAGCTGACCAAACAGATGGGGCATGAAGACTGGGGAACCAGATAGTACCCCGCGCTAGGAGTAAAACAAAAAAATTCTTGGAAAATAAAGGCAGACAACAGTAAGCAACCTTGGGATTGATGAGAAAACTCCAACTCGATGTAGATGTAGGATGAGGGAGGAGGAGTGGGAGAAAGGGACCTAATGGGAAGCCCAACAGCAGTGAGGAGTGCTGGGGAGGGGGCTCCAGCTCACCTGGGGCTCTGAGGGCAGCCTGGCAGCCACCACTGCGTCTCCTCTGCAGCGCCCTCCCAGGGCAAGCCCAGGAACCTGGAGAACTAAGAAGGAAAGACGCTCTGGATGAGATGGACCCTGGCACCCAGCCTCCCTGGCCTGTGGATTCCAAGTTCAAAAACTGGGCTAGTAAATTCCTGCCAGGAAGTTCATACGGAATGTGCTCCTTTCCCCAGTGCCTGGTCCCTACCAGCTCCAACCCTAGGCCTAGAGAGGCGTGGGGTGCTCCTGCAGATGTGCATGACATGAAAGCAACATCAAAAGAAAACAAAGCTTTCCATTTGAAGATCTTCAGTCTTGAATTTTGCTGAGAGAATGGATAAGAAGATTTTTGATGTTAAAACAACTCTTTACTAGCTCTTAGGGTGTTTCTGCTTTAGTTTTAAAAAACTAAGAGTCAGATGAGGTTAGGCCTAGAAAGAAGAAAATGAGTAACGCTTACATGGAACTTGCTTAGATTAGAGAAGTAAAAGGTAACTTCCGGTTTTCCTGGAAGAGCTGAACTTTGCAAGGGGCAGAGAACAAGTTAGTTTAGGTCAGAACCTGTGTGTTGAAATAAAGACTGCGTGTCAGCTGGTGTGTCCCAGGGCAGTGTGTCTTGGGAATACACCCAAATGTGCACAGCATTCGAGGAACATATGGTGCTTTCCCATGGAGTGATTCTCACCCTGTTCTAGTTACAGACCAAGGGTTTAGAAGATTTATACTCTTTGATTTGCAGCAGTCCTACAATGTCTGGGATTTACATTTCTTGCCTTATATTCTTCACAGCACTTACCAATAACTAAAATTTCATCATTACATTCTTTGCCATCTTCCCTTTTAGAATGTAAGCTCCAGTGAAGCAAGAAATCTGTCTTACTGACAGCTCTATCCCTGATGCCAGAACACTGGCTACCACACTTGGGGGGGGGGTCCTCCATAAATTCATGTTAAATGAATGGAGGTCACTCTGTTATTAAAAAATCAATTCTTTCCAAACACCACTTTTAATAGTCTTACATTTACTAGGTCAGGTTTGGTTAGAAAAGCTTCCCACCATTGTTTGAAATTTCCCTGTCATCTCAATCTAAAAGTAAAGTAGATCTGTGATGGGCATATAAAGCACCTGTCAACAGATCAGTCTTTTAAATGAAGCTGATGAAGTCTGTAGAATTCAAACTGCCCAGAAGGTAACACTCACCCCTGTCTGCTGAGGCCTGGGACCCCAGAGATTCGTGCTTGAGCAGAGCCTTCATTGGCTGGAACTGGGTACTCCATGGCCTCTGAGCTGGTGTCAGCACCGCCATCTTGCAACAGAGTAGCTGCCTCTGGTGACCACCTGGGACCTGGAAGTCATTCACGTATTGATTCATCAAAACTTCTATTATGCTTCCTATGTGCTAGTACTTTCTATTTTCTAGGCGCTATTTCTAAGAGCCTTATGAATATTCACTGAATGCAGATACCAACGACACTATGAGCTAGGGACTATTATTCTCTGTATTTCTGTAATGAGGAAACGGAGGCCCAGAGTTGAAGCAACTTGCCCAAGGTCACCCAGCTAATAAGTGGTGATGCTAGGATGGGAAGTCAGGCAGAAGAAACCCAGAGTCCATGCTCTTCACCACTACCGCATGCTCCTTCATTATATACGTTGTGCTCTTTGGGAACTAGTGTTAAGTTCTCAGAATATTCATAATATTCATAATTTTTCTTACTGAAAAGTGGAAATAATAATTTCTAGCTTACAAGGTCTGGAGGACTAGTAAATAAGATGTGAAATCACCTAACACATGGCCTGGTACATGGTTCATCCTCAATAAGAGCATGTTTCTTTCCAGGCATTTGTAATTAGTTCTGAATCCACTTTCAAGATCATTAGCTTATATGCAGCTTAGAATTTCCACATCCTCTATATAAAACACACAACCTGATACTAAGAGACTTGAAATGCGTTTTCACTGTTAGAGGACTCAGAGGCACTACTGCCAATTCAAGTAGCTTGGTCTCCTGGTCACCAGTTACTCTGGTTATGTGTTCTCTGAAAGGGACACACAAAAATACAGGATAATGCACGTGGAAAATGGTCTACAGGGCGCCTGGGTGGCTCAGTCGTTAAGTGTCTGCCTTCAGCTCAGGTCATGATCCCAGGGTCCGGGGATCAAGCCCCGCATCGGGCTCCCCGCTCCGCGGGAAGCCTGCTTCTCCCTCTCCCACTCCCCCTGCTTGTGTTCCCTCTCTCGTTTTGTCTCTCTCTGTCAAATAAATATTTTTAAAAAATAAATAAAATCTTTTAAAAAAAAGTGGTCTACAAAAAGCAAGAAGATGCGGATAAAAATGAACCCAGGAGTTCCTAACCTGTGGTTCATGGACTCCCTTCCAAGTGTCCTATGAATTTAAGTAGGAAACATTTCTATTTTTATTGGCGTCTAAGCAAAATTTGGCAATTCCTTCAATTATGAATGGAAGCAACAAACCAAAGTGTTATAATCCTAAGTAGGCACAACCAGGCAAACACTATCAAAGTCATTCAGCACCACTTTGAAACTACCAGTTACCGGGCCTATCCCTAGGTCTTACTATTTGGTGCATTAATTTTAAAAAGCATATATATGATTTTATCACTGATTTGTTTCATGCTCTGTTAACTGTATTTCAATATAATTGAGTTCTTTTGTAATCCTTCATGTTCTTAAAAATACTAGTATGAGGAGGGGTCCAGGGACTTCTCCGGAGGGGCAAAGAGGTTCATGATACAAAAAGAGATTAAGAACTTCTGGATCTTCCAGAAACGCCCCTCACACCGATCTTGAGACTTCAGGGAGAGACGGAGCTCGGCTCTCAGATCCTAAGCCCTTTGCCTCTACCTGCGGCCCTGGCTCCTCCAGCTGCCTCTGCAGATACTCCAAGAGCACCACCACCTCGTCCCCGCTCTCCGGGTGCCGCTCCCGCACCCAGGCCTGCAGGTCCCCCGGCAGGATGGCCAGGAACTGCTCCAGCACCAGCAGCTCCACGATCTGCTCCTTGCTGTGCGTCTCGGGCCGCAGCCACTGACGGCAGAGCTCCCGCAGCCGGCTCAGCGCCTCGCGGGGCCCCTCGGCCTCGGGGTAGCGGAAGCCCCGGAAGCGCCGGCGCGAGCGCTCGGGGCCAGGCGCCGGGCTGCCGGGCGCCCCCGCCTCTGCCGCCGGCGCGGGGGCGTCCTCCTCCTCCACCTTCACCGTCAAGACCCCAGTCAGGAGCCCCGGCCGCTCCTCCGCAGAGTGGGCGTCCAAGGCCGCGCTGGCCTTCGACTCTCGGGCCATCCCGGGCCTCGCGCCGGCGAGCGCCTCGACTTCGCGGGCGGATCCTCGAGTGTGGAGTCGCTACCGGCCGGCACGACTGCGGGCTGCACGGGCACGGCTCTGCCGCGGCCACAAGCCGGCCGCGCCGTCCTCCGCTCCCGGCCCGAGGCCCGCCGCCAGCGTCTCCGCGGCTGGCCGGCACAGGCGGGCGCCCGGAGCGCAGCAGTGCGCGGAGCCCAGGCGCCGGAAGCTCGGCACCGGAAGCCGGGGCCCGCGCCATTTCCCCGGCTCTCTAGGACGCGCCTCTCGGTGGCGGCCCGAGTTAACCCTTCAGCTGCCGGGCCCGCCGCGGGACCTCACCTCTAAATCCCGGGGCTGTGATGTAAGCTCGGCCAAAGAGCTGGCGTGCGTCGGACACTGACGTTCAGAAGAAGGTCCGCTTCCTCGGCGTCCTTAGAGCTCTGGCAGGAGGGCCTGCAAAAGAAGCCGGAGCCATCGCCAGGCGCCTGCTTGGGAGAGAGCGGTGGCTGCCCCAGGGCCTTGCCTGCCTCCAGCTGTCACTCTCCTGCCCTTTAAGGCCAAAGGCTTGGAGGAACGCCCTCCCTATCCCTGGCTAGTCCGCTTGCATTCGTCCTTACCACGTTGTAGGCAGCAAACCGCCCACAAAGCCATTCCGACCCCTCCAGCCGAATTAACCAGAAGTGCCCAACCTCCCCCACCAGTTGCCACTTTACATTTTCCAGGGCCTCCTTTCAGCAGCCAGGCTTATGCGGCTCCCTACTTCGGGGAACTCTGCTGTCCCTGGCTTCGGGACCCTATTCTCTTCCTGCTTGCTTGCTTTTTGTTTTCTTCCCAGTTCCCATCCCCTGATTATACCTGGGCTCATAATCCTGGCTTTATTTACCACTTACTAGCTGGGTGACCTCCGTTAACTACATAACCTCTTTGTGCCTGACTTTTCCAATCTTAACTGGGGGTAATAATAGTAGACAGGGATGTTGTGAGCAGTAAGTGAGTTTTTTGTGTGTGTAAAGTTCTTAGAATAATGGCTGACCTATAGTAAGCGAGGCCTTCCCTAAAATGGAAGGAAACCCTGAGATTCCTTTGAGCCAGAGGGGCAAGATTTAAGCCAGAAGTGACAGCAGTTATTTTGCTGGAGTGAGATGTCCGTAAGTCCCCTTTCTACTCAGTGGAATGCAAGTTTGGTATAGAAGTTTATAAAGTGGAAAAGTACCATGTTGGTACCTTCCTGAGTTTTTATTCCTCCGTCTATCCCTCTGCGGTTCAAAGGGTAGCAAGAAAGGGATAGAACTTAAGAAAATGAGAGGTCCCAAAGGCTGTTACAAATGAAAACTACTAGAAAATATTTGTCTCTTGATGAGCCGCCACAAGAGGTACAAGGCATTGACATGAAGCATTGTTGGCAAAACAAGTGAACCTGAATCAAATTAGGTTTCTAGATCCTAGTAGTTGCATATCAGTGAGATTCAGAAACAAGTTAGCATTTTTCACACTGCACAGCACATTAGAATTATTGGGGAGCGTTAAAGCATCTTGATATCTTGGTTGCAACCAAGATCAATTCAATCAGAAGGTCGAAGGATGGAACTTAGGTGTGCATAACTATAAAATTTTCATAGGTAGTTGTGATATGCAGGTACGTTTGAGAATTAATGAGCTCAATGGTACTTAAAAGAAGCAATAAATAAAATTCAGAATGTGGGATATTCCATAGGCAGAAAAACCTGGATCCTCAACAAATACATGGCATTTTTTGAAAAGGCAGCAGAGAAAAGGGAACTGTTTTAAAGGAGACCGAATAGATGTATCAGCCAAATGCAAACCTTATTTGGAAACTGATCAGAGCAAAACAGCTGTAAAAACACATTTGGGACAACTGGGAAAACTAAAACACAATGATATTAAGGAGTTACTATCAATTTAGTTGTCATAATGATATTGGGGTTATGTTAAGGAAAAAAGGCCTCATTTGATAGAAATTTATACTGAGGTACTTGTCGGTGTACTGATATAATGTCTGGATTTGCTTTAAAATAATCAGAACTAGGGGCACCTGGTGGCTCAGTTTAGCCTCAGACTCTTGATCTCAGCTCAGGTCTTAAGCTCTGAGTTTGGGCCTCGTGTTGGGCTCCACACTGGGCATGGAGCCTACCTAAAATTAAGAAATAAAATACTCAGAACTAGAGAAAACACACAAAGAAAGGTACCGCGATAGCTGTTGAAGTTGAGCGAGAGGCATAGGGGTTCACTGTAATATGCTCTTTACACTTATACATATTTGAAGTTTTCCACAGAAATTTGCTTTTTAAGTATACAAAGTCCTACTTCTTTCTTGAATAATTCGGTCCAAAAGCCTTTAAGTGGTGCCAGGATGCTGGGATCATGACCTGCTTAACTTTAACCAGGTGCCCCACTGTAGACCTATTTTAACCCCTACACTGCTTTTCCCTGTTGAGGAGCAGTCACCTTGCTGCCAGAGAAAATTAAAAAATGATAGTATGACTATATGGCCTTTTAAAGATATGATCAACTTTTTTTTAAGATTTTATTTTTTAAGTAATCTCTACACCCAACATGGGGCTCAAACTCACAACCCCAAGACCAAGAGTCCCGTGCTTGCTGACTGAGCCAGCCAAGGACCCCAGTATGATCAGCTTTTAAAGACCCCTAGAGGGCGCCTGGGTGGCTCAGTTGGTTAAGCGACTGCCTTCAGCTCAGGTCATGATCCTGGAGTCCTGGAATCGAGTCCCGCATCGGGCTCCCTGCTCAGCCAGGAAGTCTGCTTCTCCCTCTGACCCTCCCCCCTCTCATGCTCTCTCTAGTTCATTCTCTCTCAAATAAATGAATAAAATCTTAAAAAAAAAAAAATAAAGACCCCTAGAAACTAAAAGACTCACTTCTCTGCTGAGCACAGAGAAATTCAGGGGCTGTTCAAGTTCCTCACATAATTGGTAGCAAAGTTAGGACTAGAAGCTTTGTTATTCAGAACTTCAGTTATCCAGTGAAATTTTTACCCATTATTGTTTCTCATGAACTCATGAACAGTGCCCCTCATCTATACTATTCATCAGTCACTGTCCAGGTAACAAGGGTTACTCTCTCAGCTCGGGGAATTTAGAGTCCCATGAATAAGACTGGAATTTCAGTCATACCTGAAGAAGCAGATTCAGGAGAGTAGAAAATAGAATTTGAGAACATGGGAAAGAAGTACATTACACCAAGTGCTTATATTTCCCCATTATATTCATTATGTTGAAAACTATAAGTAGGTATCTTTGATTTAACTCTGAGGTCTCTAAAAGTCCCTCAGACAGTACATTTCTTCTTGTTTATTGCTTAAAGACATAAAAACTTAATCCTGACACACCTTAATGGAAATATTAAGATCAAATTAAGTGTCCAAGTAACAGTTGAGATGTTGCTATAATTGTTAGAGGCAGGTCTGACCCTTCTAGGTATCAGTATATAGAAATCTTCAGAACAATGGAGAAGAAACAATTCTCCAACCTGCATAGAAACCTTAAAAATGCCTACGTGTTAGGTATTTTGTATTAAGGGAATCAACCATATAGATTCTTATGAAACTGTTACAACATGAACTGTACTAGTTCCAAAATCATACAGTATTTTTTCCTAATTCTGTATCCCCTGTGTGAGACTACAGATGATTCAACAGAATTTATTTTATATGTTGCATCAGGAAAAATAGGATGCTCCTTTGTCTACACCTATTGTTTATAGAGCTGGGAGTTGGGTGAGGTGAGAGAGGCACTTAGGTCACAGAATTTAAGAGAGTGGATGTGTCCTTAGATTTGGGCCCTCAGTGCCTCTCTCGCCTCACCCTACTCCTGGCTCTGTATAGACACAACATTAGAATCCATTAAGCATTTTTATATTTATCTCCTCTGACTCTTCCATTGGTGAGGAAGTGGCATTGCTAGGAGTCTCCCTCATGTCTTTTCACACTCTATTCCTAACTTCCACTACCCGTCTCTTTCTTAGAAAATGCACGTTTAAGCAAGAGTCTTGTTTCTACAGTGAGAGGGTTCCTGATTAATTCATTCATCCAGGTATGTTTATTTGATTTCACCCCAGATACAAAGTGGAGTTTGGGAGAAATCACAAAAGAAATGAAAAGTGTGATTCTTGACCTTGCGATGCCTAGAAATGTATCAGGGAGAAAGTAAAAGGCAAAACCTAAAAATACAGAAAGTAACACTACAAAATGATAATGTGCAGAGAAGAGGTTGAATACAGCTTTAAAACCGCGGTAGCAGGACGCCTGGGTGGCTCAGTCAGTTAAGCGTCTGCCTTCGGCTCAGGTCATGATCCCAGGGTCCTGGGATCGAGTCCCACATCGGGCTCCTTGCTCGGCGGGGAGCCTGCTTCTCCCTCTGCCTGCCTCTCCCCCTGCTTGTGTTCTGTCTCTCTGACAAATAAATAAATAAATAATCTTAAAAAAAATAAAATAAAAAATAAAACCCCTGTAGGGTCACCCCTTCAAGAGCATGGTGGTTAGGAGCGCTGGCCCAGGCGTAGTCCACCCTTCACAAAATCATAAAAAAAATACATTTACAATACTGCATGTACATTTATTGTAAAAATAAACAAACAAAAAGCCCCCCACGTGTAGGTGCCCCAGACTGTGGGCAGCGCTCTTCCCAGGTGGTGTTCCCCTGCCTGGAGGCTTGGGCTCAGCAGCCGCCACACCGGGAAAATTTATGGAAAACAATTTTGAGAAAGATAGTAAGATATTACCTATGAGAACAATTTCATTTTAGCTGAGCTTTCAACATCTGGTGCTTTTCTTAATGATTAGAATGTATTGCTATTTCAAAAACTACCTATTTTCTTTTCTTTTAAGATTCATTTATTTATTTGAGAGAGAGAGCAGCCACGTGTACAAGCAAGGCTAAGGGCAGAGGGAGAGGGAGAGAGAGAATCTTCAAGCAGACTCCCCACTGAGCATGGAACCCAACGCAGGGCTTGATCCCAGGACCCTGAGATCACGACCTGAGCTGAAATCAAGAGTTGGCCACCTAATGACTGAGCCACCAGGGTGCCCCCAAAACTACCATTTTTTAAAAAAGATCTTCAAATACATTTTTGTGCTCTATCTGAATGAATATTTGCTCATCTATAAATAAAATTAAGAAAATAAAAGCCCCTCCCCCCAAAAAGATATGGTAGGCATTTATTTTTATTCCTATCAGCGTATTTTTTGTACCACTGCTTTCTCTACTAAGTCAGGGGTCAACAAACTACTGTCTACAGACCAAAATTGGCCCACTGCCTGTTTTTGTATGGCGTGAGCAAGAAATTATTTTATATTTTCATATTGTTGAGGAAAAATCAGAAGAATATGATGTGAAAATTGCAGAAATTCAAATTTCAGTATCTATAAATAGTTTTATTAGAACACATTCATGTTCATTTATATATTATCTATGGCTGTGTTTGCCTTACAATGGTAGTACCCCAATTAAGCAAAATGTTATTCCTCAATTTTTTCATTCTTCCCATTAGAAAACGTGTCTTACAAAAAATGTATTATTACTTTTAACAAAAATAATTTTTATTAAATTTCTAATCAAATACTATAATAATTTATTTTCTTTCATTAAAAGACTTAAATGTTTACAACATTATCAGTTTGGGAAGACAAAGAGTAAAAATGGCAGCAAAGTGATCAAAAGACAAATTCAGAGACAGAATAAATGCAGCCTATTTAAATGCCTGCCCGGCTCTGGTGGATGCTGCCAGAGTGCTGATTCTAAGCCTCAGAATAAGTAATAGTTCAAAATCTCCTCCAGCTTCAACACGTCCCAGTGAGAAATTTTGGTGACTTCAAAGAAGACCTGGTGACAATACTTGGAATGCACAGTCTTGAGCCTATTACAAAGATGCAAAATCAGCAGGATGTTCAACTGCTTGCCCAAGGGGTGAAGATCAGAGGTCTTGTAGCCACTGTAATACTCCAGGGTAGGAGCCCAGTGTCTGAACTTCTTCAGTAGAGGGTCAGGAGGAAGGAGTCAGCAGCTAGCTTGGAGGCCCTCTACTGGATACATTCCTATTCCTGCAGTCATCTCATGGATGAAGCAGGACAAGGTCAATGTCTTCATGCTGGCATGGAGATACCTAGCATATCTGCACAGGAAATGATAGGCAATGGGAATGTTGGTATCAAATTTGAAGGTTTGCAGGTTGCTGACTTCCATAGTGAGCATCTCATCTTGCTTATAAATATCATCTAAAAATCTAATTTGATCCTATTCAATTTAATTTCCCCACTTTACTGTTTAGAGTCCTAGCAGCAGGAAAGCACTATTTCTAAATTCTGACTTAGCTTTTCTGTCACTTTACAAGTCTGTCAAATAACCGAGGTCAACTTAACTGTAGAGAACCAAGATGATGGTATGCCTACATACATTTTAAGATCAGAGGAAAATGATCTTGCATGAAACGCTGACCATTTCAGAGAGTGAACGAAGTGTGTGCAGAAAGTGGTTCCCAAGCACAAAATTTCTGGAGAAATTAACCAGGTTAGGAGACATCTACAAGACTGGGTTGGATGCTTCCCTGCATTTCAGGGGTAGAAAAGTGTGAATTTAAGAATTAAAATCACACTTGATCTCACCCAAAAGGCCGAGAAGCTATTAAAATCGTAACTCTGGCCTTCACGTGGCTCAGAGGCTGAGCTTAAACTTCGTTTCCAAAAGAAGTTCTGGTTCTTGCTTCCAGTAGGCACAAGCGGGGTTTGCAATTCACGAGTACAAGTATTTCCTCCGTGAAGATGGTGGACAGGTTCCTTTCTGAGATCAACGAAAGGAGCGTGCAAGTAGGAAGCCTCCACCAAGGGGCAATGATAAAGAGGGCCGAAGGGAGCGAGGAGGAGCGAAGGCTATTAAGACGGTTGAAGGCGAATAGCCAAGCAGCGTAGAAGACGTCTGAGCAGCAGAGGGGGTCGCTGGTACGAACTCCTCTTCGGCGACCCAGGGGCTCAGGGCACAGAGGCGGAGCCTAACCACAAGCTCCGCCTCGCCTCTCCACCCACTGCCCCAGGGAAGCCTCCGGCGCCGGCGTTTCCCGTCCCCGCCCGCGCGCGCGCGCTGCGTCCTCGCCCAGCAATCCGCCGGAAGCGGAAGTCGCGGCAGAAGCGTCGCCGAAGCGCCTCGGGCGGTGGGAAGTACCGGCCGCCGCTGTGTCTGTGGTAACTGCCCGGCGTTGGTCCTTGGATCGCCCGTGAGGCGTGGCTCATGGCCCCGGTGTCCCGGTCCCGTTACGTCGAGGACACCGCGGGCTCTCGGAGGTGGCGGCGCAGCTCGTCGGGGAGCCCGCCGTCTGTGCAGGCCAGACGCTCCCCGTTGGGAGGCCGCGGCCGCTCTCACTCCCGCGGCCTCGAGGGCCTCAGGCCTCCGTGGGGAGGGGCGGGCGTCGGCGCCCCTTGCCCGCTTGGCCGCCGTCGAGAGGCGGCCCCGGCGTCGCGCAACTACGCCTTCTCAGCCTCTTCTGTCTACTGTGGCGGGTACCGCTACCATCACCACGACTGTGCGGGCCACCGGCAGTGGGCGGAGGAGCACGAGGAGGAGGAGGAGGAGAGCTACCGGCAGAGGAGGCTGAAAGAGAGAGAGAGGATTGGGGAGTTGGGAGCTCCTGAGGTGTGGGGGCTGTCGCCAAAGTTTCCGGAGCCGGATTCTGATGAGCACACGCCCGTGGAGGATGACGAGGTGAAGACTCAGAAGCCCAGCAGTTCAGACTCCAGCTCTGAAGAAAAAAGGAAGAAGACCGGTCGTTCAAAGAGCAAGAAAAAAAGAAAGAAAAAGTCCAAAAGGAAGCATAGGAAATACTCTGATAATAGTGATGCGAATTCAGACTCCGACACTGATTCTAGCTCTGATGATGATAAAAAGAGAGCCAAAAAAGCCAAGAAGAAGGAGAAGAAGAAGAAACACAGGGGTAAAAAAACCAAGAAGAGTAAGAATAAGAAGACTAAGAAAGAATCCGGTGACTCAAGCTTTAAAGATTCAGAAGGGGAGTTGCCGGAAGATACCTGGATTGGGCAGTCAAAGACTGCAGATACCATGGATCTGATAGGTCCAGAAGCACCTATAATACACACCTCCCAAGATGACAAACCTTTGAACTATGGCCATGCTCTGCTCCCAGGTGAAGGTGCAGCAATGGCGGAGTATGTAAAAGCTGGAAAGCGAATCCCACGAAGAGGTGAAATTGGGCTGACAAGTGAAGAGATTGCTTCATTTGAATGCTCAGGTTATGTTATGAGTGGTAGCAGGCATCGTAGAATGGAGGCTGTACGACTGCGTAAAGAGAACCAGATCTACAGTGCTGATGAGAAGAGAGCCCTTGCATCCTTTAACCAGGAAGAGAGACGGAAGAGAGAGAATAAGATTCTAGCCAGTTTCCGAGAGATGGTGTACAGAAAGACAAAAGGGAAAGATGACAAGTAAGGACTTTTGTTGTTCAGCAGGACTTTTAACAACCATTTTATATGACCAAAATAGTGTGAAAAGACTTCATGGTGCTACTGTATCTACTATGTTAGAAAGTCCTTCAAGAAAAAGCTGCTGTTTGAGATCTCTTTAACAATTTATTTTGTTATTTTTAATTTAATATGTGCACATGGCTTAACAAATATTCAAGTACTACAGTTGGAGAGTTAATAAAAGGTCTTTCATCCTAGTTCCTGATTCTTCTCCTCAAAGAAATCTCTTCTTGATGTCTGTTACATCTGTTCATAAGTTCTGTGTATATACAAGCACGTTGCAGGTTAAAGGTTGGAGTTATTAACCTGAAGATTATTTTCCCTGTTGAACCTGACCTCTCTCTCTCTCTTGAAGGGCTTCATGGAGCCCTTCATTTGCCCCTAGCAGGACCAGAAGAACCCCAGAAAGAACAAAGGATTCAAATGAGTGTATATTTCTGGTTGCAGTTAACAGATTGTGTTAAAAAATAAAGGAGATTTATTGGTTCATGTAACTGAAAAGTCCTGCAGGAAAATGGGTTTCCTGCATGGCTTTATGGGACCTTAACTTTTTTCTCTCCATGGGTCATTTTCCTCCGTAGCCTGTTTTCCCTTAAATAACAAAAGGGTTGCCAAAGGTCCTGAGTTTGGTTATATACTTCCTGGTCCACCTCTGAGGAGAGAAAACATTTCTGTCCTGGCATTCCAAACAAGAATCCTGAGATGACCCTAATTGGATTAGCTTAGGTCACATGCCCACTCTCATAAAAGGTACTGTTGTCAGGAGATAGGCCTACTCCTGGAGCTGTGAGTATAGTCAATTTATAGGCTACATGGGGAAGAAGTGAATACCTGAATGAAAATCAGGGTAATGTTGGGAAGGTGTATAGGCAACCAACAAACGCCCACTATAGTTTTGAATGATTTCTAAAAAAACACAGTACATGTGCTGAAAGCCAAAATTTTCTTGAAGCTTGCTTTTGACTATTAGGGAATACCTGGCTGAAGGGGACATAGGGTTTATCCATCAAAATAGATCTGAAAAGAAAAGATGAAGGTCCATTGTGCTTGGGTCTTCCAAAGAGTAGATTAGGTGCCACCTTAGACTAAGAGGAGAAAGAAAAAAAATGAGAAGGTATAAAGAATGAAGTTGGTGGAGTTCACGAAAAGATCAGATCAGGAGGGACCTCATGGACAACAAAGTTAGCATTGAAAGGCTGGCTAGCTCCAGTGTTAGAGAAGACTTTAGAGTGAACTCCACTCATGGTCTATGATAAAGCCTTCATTGTCATCCAGTGACATCTGCCTGAATCCTAAGACTTCATTTCATCGCTAAGCAAACTATCTCATTTGAAAAGGGGACCCCCGGGGCGCCAGGGTGGCTCAGTTGGTTAAGCGACTGCCTTGGCTCAGGTCATGATCCTGGAGTCCCAGGATCGAGTCCCACATCGGACTCCCTGCTCGGCAGGGAGTCTGCTTCTCCCTCTGACCCTCCCCCTTCTCATGCTCTCTCTCTCTCTCTCTCATTCTCTCTCTCAAATAAATAAATAAATAAAATCCTAAAAAAAAAAAAAGAAAAGGGGACCCCCTTTTCAAGGCTCGAGACCCTACTAAGCTCCACAGAGCTGAGGGTGAAGGGGTGGGGTTCTAGAATCTCACAGGGCAGTATGAGGTGGAAGGGCACCTTCATCCTAGTAGATGACTTGATTGGCACTGGACCACACTACTTTGAGAATTTCCCCAGAGTATTGGGGAGCACTGGTAAAAGCCAATGTTACATATGTATATTTCTATCTTTAGAAACAAACCATACCACATTTCACCCATGAACTTACACCTTGCTTTTTTCACTTAATACATCTTGGAGATGTTTTAATCAATGCATATAAATACACCTTATTCTCTTTAATGACTTTACAATGTTCTATTGAATGAAAGGACCACATTTTATTGGATGTTTAAGATGTTTCCTATATTTTGCAATTACACTGTACTGAAGTGAAAATCTTTGTGGATATGTGAGAATATTATCTGTAACATTCTCATCTAGAAATAGAATTATTGGGTCAAAAAGAATTCTTTGGATCATCTAAAAATGGCCACCTATAAGTGGAGTTCTTGGATTAAATGGAAAATATTTATTAGGTGCTTTTTATATGCTAGGCACTATGGCAGGTACTGGATATAAACCAAAGAGCAAGTTAAGTTTGATCCTTGCCATCACAACAGAATTTTACATTCTACTGGAGGAGACAGACCTTTAAAAACTACCAGACAAATATGTATTAGTTGCGGCATGCTGTGAAGAAAATAAGGGACTAGAGACAATAACAGGGGGAGGTTTTTGATAGGGTGGTCAGGAAAAATCTAAGAATGTCACATGTTCTATGTGCTTTTACATTTTAATAGATTTTGCAACATTGCTTTGTAAATAAGATGTACCAGTTTACACACCTACATCACCAACAATATTGTACTTCTAAACCTTTTGATCTTTGCCAATCTAATAGGTGAAAAATGGCGTTTCATTTTTTTCTTAGAGAGAGAGAGCATGAGCGGGTCTGGGGGAGGGGGGGAGGGAAAGGGAGAGACAGTCTTAAGCAGACTCCCCACTGGGTGCAGGGCCCAACACGGGGCTCAATCTTACAACCCTGAGATCATGACCTGAGCTGAAATCAAGAGTCAGATGCTTAACCAACTAAGCCACCCAGGCGCCCCTCGGATTTTTCTTTATTAGTTTATTCATATGATGGTTTAAAGTTACAGATTTCCTAATATAAAACTATGGGTTAAGTTTATTGGACTCATTTGTAGGTTTTTTATTGTTTAGAACAATCACTGGTCACATAATTTTCTATTTAAAATTCAGAATAATGAATTAATATTTTGCTGAATATGTGGAAGCCGAGAGAAAAGCAGAAAGCATCATTACAAAAAGATAAGAACTGCTATCTTATGCTATAGCATGGTAGCATGACTTGTAATGCAATAGGGCCTCTACAGATCCTATAGAAGAAGAAGCTTTCATTTTGAATATCTTAAGAATGGACCTGATGGAAACATACGGACCACCATTTTGTTTACAAAAATAAGGATAATCCTGAAAAATGATAATCTCAAATTTGAAAATTGATTTTTAAAATTAGCAACATGTAGTCTGTCCTGTAAGATAGCATCTTTATTAATTCTTATCTACCTCTACCCCTTCCAAAAGATAGACTACTTAAATTAAAAATGCAGACCTTGAATTTTTTTAAACCTCTGCTTTAACTACATTTTGATTTTCTTTTTAAAGATTTTATTTATTTGACAGAGAGACAGCAAGAGAGGGAACACAAGCAGGGGGAATGGGAGAGGGAGAAGCAGGCTCTCTGCCAAGCAGGGAGCCCGATGCTGGGGGACCCTGGGATCATGACCTGAGTAGAAGGCAGACGCTTAATGACTGAGCCACCCAGGCGCCCCTACATTTTGATTTTCATGGGTTATTCAATACAATGCCAATTTAAGCCTTGATACTATGAGTGACGTTTACGAAGCCAGCCATGGTAGAGAGTTTGAAAGGGGCAGTAAATTAAGATATATTTACTTCCTTTTTATTTTTATTTTATTTTTTTTAAAAGATTTTATTTATTTATTTGAGACAGAGAGAATGAGAGACGGAGAGCACATGAGAGGGGGGAGGGTCAGAGGGAGAAGCAGACTCCCTGCCGAGCAGAGCCCGATGCGGGACTCCATCCAGGGACTCCAGGATCATGACCTGAGCCGAAGGCGGTCGCTTAACCAACTGAGCCACCCAGGCGCCCTACTTCCTTTTTAAATTTTATGTTTATCTCTTACGTAATTTTCAAAAAATATATAAGCCCTTCTTTAGAAAGAAAGAAAATCAGACATATGAGTTTTCTGTCAAAAAAAAAAGTTAACTTCTAATTAGTAAAGTATTTGCATTGACTGCATTTGTTTGCCTAAGGAAGTTTTAAGGTGAATATATTTAATTGGTATTTCTAAAAGATACTTCCAAGCTTCTGGCACCCAAGGAGGAGATGTTAACTCTCCTTGTTGTCATGAAACACGTTTTTTTCTTTTGCTGTGATAATTTCAATGCTGAAAACACTGAATAAATTACCTGTCATAAAATAATGATTAGTATATTTGATGATATTTCAAAACTATCAACTAATTAAACAGAAGTTGTTTAGATTTTTAAAAGGATTTATTTTATTCAAAGACTAAAAAACAGTTTTTGGTAAGGTGAATAAGAAGGAATATTTCTTCTGTAGAATTATTTTTGTAAAGTGATATCTGATGGTTTTTTCCCCCTAAAACCTACATTCTCTGCAAAGTATTGCTGATTATACTTTTCTAGTAATCTACTTAATTTTTCATTACCTTAAATATTTCAATACCAATATATTTTCATTGTTCAATTTGATCTTCAATTCTTTGATACTACGAAAAAAAAGGGAAAAAACGCCGATACGGTGACATTTATTTTTGCCGTTGTGTTTGACGACTTTTTAAATTGGGGAGAAATGGAAAGGTACGTGTCTGCGTTTAATTCGTGAGCGAGCAAAGTAGAAACGCTGGCTGTTCACGGAAACCGTTAACCGAGCGGGCCTGCTCTCCCCTAATAAAATCAACCTCGGCGCGCAGACGAGGGCCGCCCGCGCTCGCCCCGGCGCGCCGCCAGGGGGCGGAGCTCCGCCCCCTGCCGCGCGCCGGAAGCCGGACACCATCGAGCCGCGGTCCTCCCGCGTGCCTAGAGCGGAGGCGACGGTGCGCTGGGCGGCGGGCGTTGGCGCTGGGCGAGGATCCCGGGCCGTGCTGGACCCGCCTGGCTGGCCCTGAGGGGCGGTGCTGGGCGCGTGGTGTGTGCGCTCCGTCTGGGAGGGCCCTGCAGACCCGGGCTGGGGAGCGGCTGGTGTCCTAGGTGCAGAGAAGCTTCTGCGACGGAGGGCCCGCAGGCCGGGTGGGGGGCCGGGGGCGTCCCGAAGCTGCGGATCTGCTGACCTGGGCCCAGCGTAGGCTGCGCTTGTTTCGTCCGCTGAGCGCGGTTTTAAGCAGGTGTTGAAGGTAAGCCTTAGAACGTAGTGCCTGAGCAGAAACCTGAAGAACATGAAAAGACCTGTGTGGCCTTTGGGCGCACGCGCTTTCAGGCAGAGGGCACAGCAGGTGCAAAGGCCTCCAGGCTTGCTTGGCATTCTCGAGGAATAGCAAGGAGACCGGGAATGTAGACGCGACCGTAACGAACGGGGGCGGGGTGTGTAGAGGACGGTATCGAGAGGCTGGGGGGCGGGAGGACGTGTTTACTGTGGAAGTAATTTGGTGTGAAGAATTTTTGGACGATTTTAAGCAGAGGGAAAACATGATCTGATTTATGTTTTAAAGCGTCTATAGCTGGGAACTCACGGTGAGATGAGACCGTAAGGCCGCGAGAATGGAGTCAGGGAAACTATTGCAAGTAATTCAGGTGGGAGATGCGGCTATCTTGGACTTGTGTTATGGTAGAAGTGGTTAGTCGTGGTCAGATTAATGATCTACCTGGAAGGCGGAGCCAGCAGTCTTTGCTGTAGGATCAGATGTGGATTGTGAGAGAGAGAAGGCAAAGTAAGTCCAAGGGTTTGGAGGAAAGGTCTGAGGTTGAGCTTTGGGATCTTGTGTAAGTTACTACACTCTCCATGTCTCAGTATCCTTCTCTGTGCAATGAAGTTGGCAACTGTGTCTTGATACAGTTGTGTGAAGATTAAACGCATTAATACTCATAAAATACATGAAACAGTTGTGTTGGCTTATTGTTTTATTACGCTGAGACATGAAGGGTATATGGGCACTAATGAGAAAAAAAATTGGTGAGTTGAAGAGTGTTCGATGTGGAAGGACCCAGGAACAGGAAAGAGTATCATAAATTTGAGGAACCGAAAGTTCATTAGCTCATAAGAAAATTTTAAGCCATATTAGATGTCTTTAACTTGATACTAAGGGTAGTGATGAGTCACTAAATGCAGTAAATGCACAGCAGAGATACAGTCCTATCTTCTCTTTAGAAATATCACTGTTTGCAGTGTGGGAAATAGATTGGTGAGTCAGAAAGATTAGTCACAGTAGTCTGGATAGGAGGAGATGGTGGCAAGGGGGATGAAGAGGAGAGAATAGATTTGAGAGCTATTTAGGCAGAATCAATAGATCTTGATTGATCTGATGCACAAGATGTGAAAGTAGGCTGGAAGGGTCCATTTATCATATTATTTATTATATATTGTGTTTGATGCATTTAGTCATGTCATAGAAATGACCACCACTAATTCAGCAGCATATGCTATGTATCTGTATTAGAGTTCTCCAGAGAAGCAGAACCGGTAGGAAATACATAGACATAGACACGTAGGGACAGATTAATTATGAGGAATTGGTTCATGAAATTACAGAGACTGGCAAGTCCCCAAGATCTGCAGGGTGAGTCAGTGAGCTGGAGACCCAGGAGAGCCGATGGTTTAGTTCCATTCTGAGTCCGAAGGCCTGAGAACTGGGAGATCTGATGGTGCAGGGACAGTAGGAAGTAAAAGGCCAGCAGTCTCGAGATCCAGGAAGAGCGGATGTTTCCATTTGAGTCCGAAGGCAGGAAAAAAGCTGATGTCCCCATGTGACGGCAGTCAAGCAGGGAGAATTCTCTTACTTGGGGGAGAGTCAGCCTTTTTGTTCTATTGAGACCTTCAACTGATTGGACGAAGCCCACCTACATTATAGAGGGCGTCTGTTTTACTCAGTCCACTGATGTAAATGTTACTTTCATCCCAAAACACACTCACAGAAACCCCCAGAATAATGTTTGACCAAATATCTAGGCACCCCATAATCAGGTGTTCACATAAAATTAACTGTTGCAATACCAAACTTTTATTTCTGGTTAATAATCATCACTTTCTTTGACTTTTTCATTTCTATTAAGAACAGTAGGATTTGGGGCACCTGGGTGGCTCAGTCGTTAAGTGTCTGCCTTCGGCTCAGGTCATGATCCCAGGCTCCTGGGATCGAGCCCCTCATCAGGCTCTCTGCTCGGCGGGAAGCCTGCTTCTCCCACTCCCACTCCCCCTGCTTGTGTTTCCTCTCTCGCTATCTCTCTCTCTGTCAAATAAATAAAATCTTTAAAAAAAAAACAGTAGGATTTGACTTTTTAAATTTTAAGTCCATTTTTCGACCTATATATATATATATATGTATCTGGTGGGAGTTACCATCCACATCCAGGACTGTATAACAGCAAACTGTATTTGGAGCCCAACCAGGTTTTATAGTGTTTTTAAACCCAAGAGCCAATTTTCACAATTAATTTAGGTGTCTGTTTAATCCAGAACAATACCTCTTTTTATTTTTGTGAAATTGACTGTTGTAGATGAGCTGCATTCAGGATTTATCTGAAAGTCTCCTCATTATTAGATTCATATGAAACATTTAGTAAAAATGCGTAAGTGATAAGGCACAAGGTCAGTTGTCTGACTGTTGGTGTTGCTGGGCTTGATCATTTAAGTTTGTGGCTTCCAGATGTCTCCATTGTTTTTTTTGTAATTAATAAGCAGTCAGCATGGTGGTTCTTGGAGACTGTGAGAGTGTCCTTTCTCCCCACTCCTTTTGCCCAGTGACTTTACCCATTTGTGGTCTTTGGTTCAATTAGTTATTTCATCAAGCTGCAAAATGGTGATCTTTTCAGATTTATTATTCCTGCTTTGTCAGCTGGCAGTCTTGTGTAGAACAAAGTTTTCTTATTTTGTATGTGTGTTCTGTTTTTAGGAATGGTTGTTTTGGAGAGAAAGAAATTGATAGTAATTATTGGAATTGTATGAACCCAGCAAAGGTGTATTGCTGTGGTTACTGTTACTACTACAGCTACTGTTTCTGTGATTCTTTTTTTTTTTTTGGGGGTAAAGATTTATTTATTTATTTGAGATTGGGGGGAAGGGGAGAGGCAGAGGGAAAGGGAGAAGCAGACTCTCCACTGAGCAGGGAGCCTGACGCGGGGCTCGATCCCAGGACCCTGGGATCATGACCTGAGCCGAAGGCAGACACTTAACCGACTGAGCCACCTGTTTCTGTGATTCTTGTTTTTACATTTTCAGGAGGAGACCGTGGAAAGAAGTTCTCCAGGGCAGAGAGCGCAAGCCGGCTGACGCTGGGGATGGCGACAGCACTGGCTAATGCCCATTCCCCAGCTCCTCTGAATCTGAAGAAGGAGGGGCTTCGGATAGTGAAGGAGGATCCCTGCTCTACTTGGGAACAGGGATTCAAGCTGCCAGGAAACAGCACCGGCCTTGGACAAGAACCGCTGTGCAAACAGTTCAGGCAGTTGCGATATGAAGAGACCACAGGACCCCGCGAGGCGCTGAGCCGGCTCCGGGAGCTCTGCCGTCAGTGGCTGCGGCCCGAGACGCACAGCAAAGAGCAGATCGTGGAGCTGCTGGTGCTGGAGCAGTTCCTGGCCATCCTGCCGGGGGACCTGCAGGCCTGGGTGCGGGAGCACCACCCGGAGAGCGGCGAGCAGGTGGTGACTGTGCTGGAGGATTTGCAGCCAGAGCTTGGAGAAGCAGGACAACATGTGGTAAGGAGCAGATTCGTTCTTTTGCAGAAAAGCAGGAGCTGAGACCTTGGGCCGGAGAGGTGGGCATGAGCTCGGTAGCAGGAGAACTGCTAAGCTTTGGTTCTGTTTCTTTCCAGTCTGGCTGCTCGAAGCTGTAGGTCAGCCTCCCCTGCTGTCTGCTGGGATGAACTGAACGTGCTGATTCCCCAACCGCTTTTCTCCACCCCCCCGACCCCTGGTTTCTCTACTCCTTCCTCACGTGGAAGTGTTTCCTGAACAGTTTCCGCCTAAGCCCACATGTCCCTAACTGTGCCTACATAACCGTCCCTAGGGCCCAGACCAGGCAAAGAAGCAGAAGATGCTCGCAGAGGAGGCGGCCCCTGTGGAAGCAGCGCGGGAGCCACAGGTCCAGGCTGAGCGTGACATCCCAAAGCCTGAAGAAGAGAAGGGTAAGAAACAGCTGCATCTTCTCACGTGGGACAGCTTTGGCGTCCCCTCCGGCGGCCCAGCTTTTGTGTTTGTTTTGAGTCGGGTTTATTGAGGTATAATCTACACACAGTAGAAATCACTCTGTAAGTGTCCGGGTCAGTGAGTTTTCACAAATGTGACAAAACTCAGTCTTCTAATCACTGCCACAATCTAGATCTGGAGGATTACTATCACCCCAAACATTTCCCCCCATCCTTTCCTTGGTGTTTCTGTTCAGCAGAAACCAAAGGCCTCTCCTGTGCCACCCTTCATCTCCTCCTCCTTCCAGCTACCATGGGGGTGAATAAACAAGGTTCACTGGTTTCTCACCCGAGGCAAAGAACCCCAGCCACGTGGGCCAGTGCTCATTTTTTCTTGTCTCCTTCAAGTTGGTGTAGTATTATTACTGTCCTTTCTTTCTAAATGTCACCTAGATTGGTTTTTCACTGTATTTTCTTTGTCACTGAAATTCCTCTTTGTTGTTTCTATCCCTTACATTTTTTTTTAAAGATTTTATTTATTTATTTGAGAGAGCGCATGCGAGAGCATGAGTAGCGTGAGGAGCAGGGGGAGAAGCAGGCTTCCCATTGAGCAGGGAGCCCGATGCGGGGCTCAATCCCAGGACCCCAGGATCATGACCTGAGCCGAAGGCAGGTGCTTCACCGACTGAGCCACCCAGGTGCCCCATCATGGGCTTATATTTTAAATATGACAAGTAAATGTAGTCACGGTAGATCCGTGACACTGTCCCTTGCCCTCCCGGTCTGTTGAAAATGCTGTTTTACACTCAAAGTTTAGGTCGTTTTCCGGTTTCAGAGCTGCCCCTGCTTTTTAGTTGTTCATGTCATTAGATCATTGCTGGAAAAGGATCTCTCTTCCTTTAAGCCCTCCCTCCCCTGTGCGTGGCTGCAGGAAGATGTGCACAAGGTGCCTCGCACCGGATTCGCTGTCTCTGGCTTCTCCTTGCGAGTCCTCCACTGTTTCCTTTGGCTCTCATGTGCTCTCCCTTTGCAGTTGATCTGCTGCCTTTATGTGGCTCACAGTCATGAACTTGCACTAGCTTGTTATTGGTGCTGCTGAGGACCTCTCTCTCCTGCTTTCTGTCTCATTCCAACTTTGCGTCCTCATTCAGGTTCCTGGCCTTGGAAGGCCCATTCTACTCACCTACCTCTGCCTGTGTGTCTGAGCTTGGGTTTTATTCATCAGACATTGCTTACGCTCTTTCACGTACCAGACATATGAGCAAATTATTACAACATCAAGATACTTGGTATCTGTTGAGCCACACAGGAAAGCAACTGCTGCTGTCCAAGGAGATCAGGACAGTTCAAGTCATTTCTGTGAACTTCATGTTACCCTTGAGGGTAAAACCCAGTAGTTTTGATCTGTTGGTGAGGACAGTGAGCCCAGAGGGTTTAGATTACACAGCCAGTCAGTGATAAAATGGGCTCTGTGTCTGCATTTCTTCATTTCCAGTACGTTCTCTTTCTTATTGGCCCCAGGGCCCTCAGTTGACCTTGCTTTTTTATACTCCAGCTGACAAACCATTTTCAAGAATGTACAGCCATGCCCTTTGAGACTGTTCGCTTGCTTGCTAACTTTGTGTGCTGTGTGTATGTCACATGATCAAGTTCAAACCATTTAAGATAAGCTGCCTCCTGCCACAGTCCCCATCCTCCCCCAAGCAGCCACTGTTAACAATTTCTTGTGTACCATTGCGTGTATATTCTGTGCAGATGCAAGCATCCACAACATTTCCACTTGGCACACATGGCTTGATTTAAATTTATTCCTCCTAATTGCAGATTCCCTTCCCTAAGCATCAAAAAACAAGTAATTGGTAGTATATATTTAATGTTTCAGGTGAGGAGACAAAGATTGAGAATGGGAAGACGGTGGTAGAGACAGATTTTTTTGGAGGAGTGGAATCATCTGGGAAAGTATCTGAACCCATAGAACCTCGTCGTGAGGACCCTAACTTGGAAGGGCAGCAGGTCAAGCCCAAGGAGAAGACTGAATATAAATGCTCAGACTGTGGGGAGGGATTCACCCAGTGCTCAGACCTGATTAGACACAAAGGGACACACACACAAGGGAAGCTCTGTGAATCTGAGGCTTGTCAGAGTCCTAGTCCTACTGCACATCAGAAAATCCGCTCTAGAGAGAAAGGTCATCAGTGTCACGAGTGTGGGAAAGCCTTTCAGAGAAGTTCACACCTTGTCAGGCACCAGAAAATCCATCTTGGAGAGAAGCCTTATCAGTGCAAAGAGTGTGGAAAGGTCTTTAGCCAGAATGCAGGCCTTTTGGAACACCTCAGAATCCATACTGGAGAGAAACCTTACCTGTGCATCCATTGTGGGAAGAACTTCAGGCGCAGCTCCCACCTCAACCGACACCAGAGAATTCACAGCCAGGAGGAGCCCTGTGAGTGCAAGGAGTGTGGGAAGACCTTCAGTCAGGCCCTTTTCCTCACCCACCACCAGAGAATCCACAGCCACTCCAGAAGCCATCGCTGTAACGAGTGCGGGAAAGCCTTCAGTTTGACCTCGGACCTTATTCGCCATCACAGGATTCATACTGGAGAAAAGCCTTTTAAGTGTGCCGTATGCCAGAAAGCCTTCCGACTGAACTCCCACCTGGCTCAGCACGTGAGAATCCACAACGAAGAAAAACCCTATGAGTGTAATGAATGTGGCGAAGCCTTCAGGCAGAGGTCGGGTCTTTTTCAGCATCAGAGATATCACCACAAACACAGTCTGGCTTGATGGGGCATCCTCTCTGCAAGGAACATGACGGACAGTATGTTGACAAGCAAACAGCACTTTAGGAAGAGTCACTCCAGCCAATTCTAGCCTCAGAGAACTCCAGGGGGCCAAGTGGGAGGCTCTTGTCCCTTCACTTGTGCTCAGCCTTGGACCAGAATGATTTGATCCTCGATGGGACTGTGGGAACAAGCAAAGCAACATTCTTCACTGCAGGACTTCTCTGAGCCTTTAACATGGTAAATGCATGATTGCACACCTCCCAAGTAGTAGAGAGCCTCATGAGTGAGGGCTTTGAAGTCAGCAGTGAGTCAGTCAAGTATCCATGGATTTATAGGCTTGAACAGAACAAGAGCAGGTCAGTATTTTTGCATCTGCTACAGCAACAGCTATAAAATAAAACTAATGATGTTTGGAAATACACCACTCTCAAAGTGCAGGTTAATGGTGGGCATTTTCCCCCACTGGTTTTACTAACCAACCCCTACTGTCATCCCCCCCACTTTCCCCACCCCCAGTCAGCAGAAGCATTTTGGAAAGCACAGAAAATTTAATTTGACCACTTCCCACCCCATTCTTGCCACAATACTTCACTGATTCAAGTTGGAAATCAAGGTTTTACTTAAAGTGTGGAAGACATTTCATAAGTCATTTGAATGAATTCAGGTAGCAGCTGTTTTACTTGATAACTCTGGTGCCAGGATAGTTGGCTCCTGCATAGACACTGTTTAGTAAGTGGGGAAAGAAATTAGACTTTTTCCATTTAATACTGATAATGCAATTTTATTTTATTTTTTTATAGATTTTATTTATTTGAGAGAGAGAGCATGAGCAGGGGGGAGGGTGGAGGGAGAGAAGCACACTCTCTGCTGAGCATGGAGCCTGACACAGGGCTCGATCCCAGGACCCTGAGATCATGACCTGAACCAGAATCAAGAGTCAGATGCTTAACCAACTGAGCCACCTAGATGCCCCTGATAATGTAATTTTAAAATGTTGCTTGTTCTGGAGTTCTTTGGAAGTCAATAAAGTCAGCTGGGAGGAGATCATGATTTTATACTGTGAATACCAAAATGTCGTGGTAATGATGAAGAGTGTTGTGCTTAGGGGAGTCCACTCCTGATTGTTAGTAGCTGAATAGGGTATTGTGTCTGGAAAAAGTGTCTCAGTCTGCCACGAGAATGAACCCTCGTGTATTGTTGAGGGTTTGGTGCATCTGCATATAGTTTAGAAACAAACGAGGAGTGACTTCACAAAAGCTTGTTTTTCTCTCAGGTAGAAAAATCTGGAGACATGCAGTCCAGGACTGATAAAGTGGTTCCATGACACCACTAGGGACCCTGCTTCTGCTTTTCTGCTCCAACATCCTAGTGCACACTATCAGTCCTGAGGTTGTCACATGATGCTTGGTAGCTGCTGAAGCTCCAGCCATCACATGCAAAGTGCAGACAGAGGCAGAAGGAGAAAGATGCCTCCCAGCTCAGCCAACCCTCTGTGAGCAGCCTCCCAGAAGTCACTTCCACACATACGCTACAGGCCAAAACTTGGGAAAGGGAGTCTGGAGAGCGTGTCTTGTTGTGGTTTGCAGAGTGCCCAGCCAAAACAGCTTCTGTCACTAGGAAGAAAGGGGAGCATGAAGGCTGGAACAGGCACTTTGCAGTCTTTGACCCACTTCCCACCTGCTGCGTGCGGTGGGACCAGGTGCCACCATTAATACCATTTCCTGGAGGAGGACCAAGTCTGTGGGAGAAGCAGTGCGACCTTTTGTGGCACTAAAGAATTTCACGGGAACAGTCATGTTCCATTCCTTAGGAAGTCGTAAAGCTATCTGTCTTTCAATCTGCCGATGAATAAAATTAAGTTGATATCAGGGATTTTCTCCCAAGTGTTTTGATGGCTGTGCTGAGGTCAGTACCTAAGCATTCAGCTCTGTGTCATAGTTTAAATCTATTTGATTCTGTTCTGTTTTAGAAGGAAAGAACAGAGAATGTCTGTTTCCTTCTCTGTTAAGAAGGAAGAAATGGGCACCTGGGTGGCTCAGTCGTTAAGCGTCTGCCTTTGGCTCAGGTCATGATCCCAGAGTCCTGGGATCGAGCCCCTCATCCGGCTCCCTGCTCAGCGAGAAGCCTGCTTCTCCCTCTCCCACTCCCCCTGCTTGTGTTCCTGCTCTCACTATCTCTCTCTCTGTCAAATAAATAAAATAAATAAATAAATAAATGTGTAGACTTGGGGCGCCTGGGTGGCTCAGTCGTTAAGCGTCAAGATCGTAATAAAGTCAGGTCCTAGGGGCGCCTGGGTGGCTCAGTCGTTAAGCGTCTGCCTTTGGCTCTGGTCATGATCTCAGGGTCCTGGGATCGAGCCCCACATCGGGCTCCCTGCTCAGCGGGAAACCTGCTTCTCCCTCTCCCACTCCCCCTGCTTGTGTTCCCTCTCTCGCTGTGTCTCTCTCTGTCAAATAAATAAAATCTTAAAAAAAAAAAAAAAATTTCTCATGAAAAAGCAATGACGACAAGAGTCAAAGTATGAAGAGTGATATACCCTTAAATATCTGGAAAATTTAGCTTTCTTTGTGGTGCTTCTGTAGTACACGCATTATAAGTTTTCTAAATTCCTTGGTACCTTAACCAACCTAATCCCTCACACAGTCCCAAAGGAAATGGTGTTCTCATCAGTACCCTGGGGGCATACCCATAACCACTTGGACATAAATGTTGGATACAGGCATATTTTATTTATTTTTTAAATTTTTTTTGAAAGAGAGCATGGGGGTGGGGAGGGTAAGTGGGAGTGGGGGCAAGAGAATCTCAAGCAGGCTCCACGCCCAGGACCCCAGATAATGACCTGAGCCGAAATCAAGAGCCAGGTGCCCCTGGATACAGGTATATTTTAATAACGTGCTTTTCTTTTCTATTCTTGAAGATTATAGAAACATTGAACAAAGGGCAAAATGTTATAACAGATCTTGTTGAAGGTTTTGCTTGCAATGCAACACATGATAGATGCTCTAGAAGGAAAGCTGAAACTCTATTCAGAGGGCAGCAACCCAGAAAGGATGAGCTGTATTGCAAAGTGTCTTCTACTGATCAGCTTTTCTGTTGGGATAGTATCCTATAATGTTCAAAAAAGAGTGGTACTTGTGTGTCTTCATTTCCTGTTCACTCTCCTGTTTAAAAAACTGATAAAGTTATTAATAAGTGTGCCATTATAAATGTAGTATGGAAAAACAGGAAAGGGAAAAATAAAGCCCCTAATTTTCACCTGTCAAAAAGAATCACTGTTTAATGTGCATATATACACACACATACTCGAATTGTGATTAGTCATTACTAATAATTTCTGCTTAATTTTCAATATAATTGTCCATGTTTATCTTCATAAATTCTTAATAAATTAACTCTTGTTTATTATGATAGAAATTTATATATTTTGTAAAAACCTTGAAAAATGTAAAGAAAGCAAATCATCCTGCTTCATGGGTCAGGTATAATCCCTTAATAAAGTATTTTGAGATACTGATCTTTTTTTATGCATAGAAACACTTTACTTTTCTACTGGATTTCATATCATGAACAGTTTTGATTTGTAAAAGAAAAGGACAGTCCATTTGCCTATCTGCCCAGTCCATCCTAGACCAGTTCTGCCATGATCCTGGGTGGACAGCTTGCCATGTGACCCTTCTCTGACCCCTGAGGTTTGGATCGGGTGGGGGACCCCTAAGCCAGGCTTGGTCATTTGGATACCCCCAGAAGTTCGATATTGGGTCACAGATTCTGGTTCATCTCTGTTAGACATTTGAACAAGAAACTAATCTAGAGCTGGAACCATTTTTGTGGTCACATAAAAACCAAATAGAAACAAACCAGCCTAGTGAAAAGTAAAAGAATGAAAGCAAGTCTTGAAGCTGGGACCCTATGAAGGCTCAGTGCAACTCAGGATAAACGACTCCGGCCCTCAGCTCCTGAGGTCCACCACACTCCCAGCTGGTCCTGGGAGTCCAAGGAACACCCTGTTTCCTTCTGTTAAAGGTTTCTTTTAAGTCATTTTGATTGGGTTTCTGAACCTTGCTAACAAACCCAAAAATCCCTGATTAAGACACCCAGATAACTAAAAGTCTTCATGGAAGATCATTTATTTTTATTAAAAAAAAATTTTTTTTAAAGATTTTATTTGAGAGGGTGAGCAAGAGTACAAGCAGGAGGAGGGGCGGGGGAGAGGGAAAAGCAGACTCCCTGCTAAGCAGGGAGCTGATGCAGGACTGGAACCCAGGACCCTGATATGACCTGAGCTGAAGACAGCTGCTTAACCAACTGAGCCACCCAAGCATCCGGAGAGAATTTTAATATAGGTTGCACAATATTCTATGGTGTATGTTCCCATTGTTAGTCGTTTAGTTTATAGTTTGTCACCACAAACATTTCAGTAAACATCCTTGGACATAATAGCCTTGCTCACTGTAGAATTCTTTTCCTTCATTCAATTCCTGAAACTAGGATGAATGAGACAAAGGGTAGGCACATTTTCTAAGGCTTTTGATTCATTTGCCAGATTGCCCTCCAGAAGGGTTATACTAATCTGTGCCTTCTGTTAGCAGTCTGTGAAAATGCCCGTTTTTCCATACCCACATCAAACCTGGGAATTACTCTTTTGCACATTTGACAATCTGGTGCGTACGAAATGAGTCTTTTTTTAAGGGGTTTTAGAAGAATACTTTTGCTGCCAAAGTTGAACATCTACTTGCATGTGAATTGGTCATTTATAATTCTGGTCTTGTGAACAGCTATGTTCACATTTTTCTGGATTTTTCTATTAGATTCTTTTAAATAGCAGTGCCCTTTAAAATTAATAGGGGGGGCTGTATATATTAAATTTTAGATGCACATGCTCTTTGACAGATCAATTCCAATATGTAGTATTTAAGCTGGAATTATAAAAATATGTGAAGATAACTGTTCTCTGCAGCATTATTTACTGTGGGCAAATAGACACACATATATACACATGTCCTATGAAACAATAGGGATAGTTAGGTAAATTGGTGGGCGTCCATACAACGGAAACCATGAGGCTGTTAAAAAATAAGCGGATACGGAAAGATCTCCAAACTGTGTTAACAGAAGAGGCTGAGGTGTAAATTCATGTTGTGAGCCCATGAGGTTAAAAATATATAGCTACATACTCACTGAAATGTTTATTGCTACTATGTGGCTGGTAGTGTCCTGGGAAAACCCACACAAAATACTAACAACGGTTAACTTTGGGGATGGGGTACTTTTCATAGTTTCTAAGCAACTTGATTTTTATTGGGCATACATGATCTACATATTTAAATTTTAAGAACTTGTGCCGCTCGCTAGATTGTAATTGTTCATCTGACCAGCGACCTGAGGATACTAAAAAGGGCGTCTCGGCTTTGCCATCTTGTTTTTGTTTTTTTTAAGATTTCTTATTTATTTCACAGAGCAAGGCACAGCGAGAGGGCGCCCGATGCGGGGCTCGATCCCAGGACCCGGGATCCTGACCTGAGCCGCCCACGGGGCCCTGCCATCTTGTTTCTAACCGAAACCGTTCACAGAGGCGAAGGGCCTGCTCGGGTCTTCGGGACGCGCCTGCGCGGGACGGCGGCAGGGGTCCTCCCGGCGCACTAGAGAGAAGGGCGGCCTCGATCCTAGAGAGGCCGGGCCGCGTTCCTAGAAAAGCCGCTACTCGGCTGCCCGCGCAGCCGAAGACGCTTTGGAGATGCGGGCTCGCCGCCGCCCGGGACCTGTGGCGAGGCCGCCGCGTCTTCGCTGAACACGTTTCTTGAGCTTTTGGTCCGCTGACCAGCCGTCGGACGCGCGCATATTGCGCGCCCGCTTAGTGCCTCCGGAGTGCTCCGAGCGCCGCGGGTGCCCCTCCGTGCCTTCTCCGACCGCCGCGCTGCGCGGACACCAGGTGGGAGCCGGGCTCGCTGGGGCCGTGTGGACGGGGCCTCCGACCTCGAGGGGCGGGAGCCGGGCTCGCTGGGGCCGTGTGGACGGGGCTTCTGTCTTCGCGGGGCGGGAGCCGGGCTCGCTGGCGCCGTGTGGACGGGGCTTCTGACCTCGGGGGGCGGGAGCCGGGCTCGGTGGGGCCGTGTGGACGGGGCTTCTGACCTCGGGGGGCGGGAGCCGGGCTCGCTGGGGCCGTGTGGACGGGGCTTCTGTCTTCGCGGGGCGGGAGCCGGGCTCGCTGGGGCCGTGTGGACGGGGCCTCCGACCTCGAGGGGCGGGAGCCGGGCTCGCTGGGGCCGTGTGGACGGGGCTTCTGACCTCGGGGGGCGGGAGCCGGGCTTGGTGGGGCCGTGTGGACGGGGCCTCTGACCTCGGGGGGCGGGAGCCGGGCTCGCTGGGGCCGTGTGGACGGGGCCTCTGACCTCGGGGGCCGGGAGCCGGGCTCGCTGGGGCCGTGTGGACGGGGCCTCTGACCTCGGGGGGCGGGAGCCGGGCTCGCTGGGGCCGTGTGGACGGGGCTTCTGACCTCGGGGGGCGGGAGCCGGGCTCGCAGGGGCCGTGTGGACGGGGCTTCTGTCTTCGGGGGGCGGGAGCCGGGCTCGCTGGGGCCGTGTGGACGGGGCTTCTGTCTTCGCGGGGCGGGAGCCGGGCTCGCTGGCGCCGTGTGGACGGGGCTTCTGACCTCGGGGGGCGGGAGCCGGACTCGCTGGGGCCGTGTGGACGGGGCTTCCGACCTCGGGGGCCGGGAGCCGGGCTCGCTGGGGCTGTGTAGACGGGGCCTCCGACCTCGGGGGGCGGGAGCCGGGCTCGCTGGGGCCGTGTGGACGGGGCTTCTGTCTTCGGGGGGCGGGAGCCGGGCTCGCTGGGGCTGTGTGGACGGGGCTTCTGTCTTCGCGAGGCGGAGCCGGGCTCGCTGGGGCCGTGTGGACGGGGCTTCTGTCTTCGCGGGGCGGAGCCGGGCTCGCTGGGGCTGTGTAGACGGGGCCTCTGACCTCGGGGGGCGGGAGCCGGGCTCGCTGGGGCCGTGTGGACGGGGCCTCTGACCTCGGGGGGCGGGAGCCGGGCTCGCTGGGGCCGTGTGCACGGGGATTCTGTCTTCGCGGGGCGGGAGACGGGCTCGCTGGGGCCGTGTGGACGGGGCTTCTGTCTTCGCGGGGCGGAGCCGGGCTCGCTGGGGCCGTGTGGACGGGGCCTCCGACCTCGGGGGGCGGGAGCCGGGCTCGCTGGGGCCGTGTGGACGGGGCCTCTGACCTCGGGGGGCGGGAGCCGGGCTCGCTGGGGCCGTGTGGACGGGGCTTCTGTCTTCGCGGGGCGGGAGCCGGGCTCGCTGGGGCCGTGTGGACGGGGCTTCAGTCTTCGCGGGGCGGGAGCCGGGCTCGCTGGGGCCGTGTGGACGGGGCCTCCGACCTTGGGGGGCGGGAGCCGGGCTCGCTGGGGCCGTGGACGGGGCTTCTGTCTTCGCGGGGCGGAGCCGGGCTCGCTGGGGCCGTGTGGACGGGGCTTCCGTCTTCGCGGGGCGGAGCCGGGCTCGCTGGGGCTGTGTGGACGGGGCTTCTGACCTCGGGGGGCGGGAGCCGGGCTCGCTGGGGCCGTGTGGACGGGGCTTCTGTCTTCGCGGGGCGGAGCCGGGCTCGCTGGGGCCGTGTGGACGGGGCTTCTGACCTCGGGGGGCGGGAGCCGGGCTCGCTGGGGCTGTGTGGACGGGGCCTCCGACCTCGGGGGCCGGGAGCCGGGCTCGCTGGGGCCGTGTGGACGGGGCCTCTGACCTCGGGGGGCGGGAGCCGGGCTCGCTGGGGCCGTGTGGACGGGGCTTCTGTCTTCGCGGGGCGGGAGCCGGGCTCGCTGGCGCCGTGTGGACGGGGCTTCTGACCTCGGGGGGCGGGAGCCGGGCTCGCTGGGGCCGTGTGGACGGGGCTTCCGACCTCGGGGGCCGGGAGCCGGGCTCGCTGGGGCCGTGTGGACGGGGCTTCCGTCTTCGCGGGGCGGAGCCGGGCTCGCTGGGGCTGTGTAGACGGGGCCTCCGACCTCGGGGGGCGGGAGCCGGGCTCGCTGGGGTTGTGTGGACGGGGCTTTTGTCTTCGCAGCGCGGAGCCGGGCTCGCTGGGGCCGTGTGGACGGGGCCTCCGACCTCGGGGGCCGGGAGCCGGGCTCGCTGGGGCCGTGTGGACGGGGCCTCCGACCTCGGGGGCCGGGAGCCGGGCTCGCTGGGGCTGTGTGGACGGGGCTTCTGTCTTCGCGGGGCGGGAGCCGGGCTCGCTGGGGCTGTGTGGACGGGGCTTCTGTCTTCGCGAGGCGGAGCCGGGCTCGCTGCGGCCGTGTGGACGGGGCTTCTGTCTTCGCGGGGCGGAGCCGGGCTCGCTGGGGCCGTGTAGACGGGGCCTCTGACCTCGGGGGGCGGGAGCCGGGCTTGCTGGGGCCGTGTGGACGGGGCCTCTGACCTCGGGGGGCGGGAGCCGGGCTCGCTGGGGCCGTGTGGACGGGGCTTCTGTCTTCGCGGGGCGGGAGACGGGCTCGCTGGGGCCGTGTGGACGGGGCTTCTGTCTTCGCGGGGCGGAGCCGGGCTCGCTGGGGCCGTGTGGACGGGGCCTCCGACCTCGGGGGGCGGGAGCCGGGCTCGCTGGGGCCGTGTGGTCGGGGCTTCTGTCTTCGCTGGGCGGGAGCCGGGCTCGCTGGGGCCGTGTGGACGGGGCTTCTGTCTTCGCGGGGCGGGAGCCGGGCTCGCTGGGGCCGTGTGGACGGGGCCTCCGACCTTGGGGGGCGGGAGCCGGGCTCGCTGGGGCCGTGTGGACGGGGCTTCCGTCTTCGCGGGGCGGAGCCGGGCTCGCTGGGGCTGTGTGGACGGGGCTTCTGACCTCGGGGGGCGGGAGCCGGGCTCGCTGGGGCCATGTGGACGGGGCTTCTGTCTTCGCGGGGCGGAGCCGGGCTCGCTGGGGCCGTGTGGACGGGGCTTCTGTCTTCGCGAGGCGGAGCCGGGCTCGCTGGGGCCGTGTGGACGGGGCCTCCGACCTCGGGGGGCGGGAGCCGGGCTCGCTGGGGCCGTGTGGACGGGGCTTCTGTCTTCGCGGGGCGGGAGCCGGGCTCGCTGGGGCCGTGTGGACGGGGTCTCCGACCTCGGGGGGCGGGAGCCGGGCTCGCTGGGGCCATGTGGACGGGGCTTCTGTCTTCGCGGGGCGGAGCCGGGCTCGCTGGGGCCGTGTGGACGGGGCTTCTGACCTCGGGGGGCGGGAGCCGGGCTCGCTGGGGCTGTGTGGACGGGGCCTCCGACCTCGGGGGCCGGGAGCCGGGCTCGCTGGGGCCGTGTGGACGGGGCCTCCGACCTCGGGGGCCGGGAGCCGGGCTCGCTGGGGCTGTGTGGACCGGACCTCTGACCTGGGCGGTGGGGTTGGGGGGTGGTTGGAGCCGGAGAGGGACTGGATGGGCGCGGTGGGTCAGGCTGGTTCTCACGGGAATGGCCTGGAGAACAGACGGGTTTCCTCCCTCTGGACATGAGGTGTAGGGTGGCGTTTGCGCTGGGACTTGGGAAATGTGCCCTCCTAGGAGGGCAGTCCTGGCCATGAAGGACAAGGTGGGTGGGAAAGAGCCAAGCAGGTCAGCATGGCAGTGATGTGAGGAGTTTGCAAAGGGGGTAGGGACTGTGCCTTTTATTATGGGGTTAGCGTTGTGCCTAGAAAATAATGACGTGCTCGGTAGTTTATCGAATGACAGACAAACCCGTAAAAACCCAGAGAAAGTTTGAATCCAGTCCAAGGAGCAGTTGAAACCCTCTTTTTGGTGAGGGAGATGTGTTGAACGTGGTCTGAATGGTGCTTTCGGAAATATTAATGCAGTGATGATAGAGTGGCCTGTGGGGCAGGGATACCACATAGAACATTATTGTAGTTGTGAATGTCCATGGGAATAGGGAATAAAAGGGAGGGAATAGCTGCAAGAGGTGTTTTGGAGGAAGGATTGACTGGACTCCGAATGACTGTGTAGAGAGGCTGGTTTTTGTTTTGTGTTTTAAAGATTATTTATTTATTTGACAGAGAGGGAACACAAGCAGGGGGAGAGGGAGAGGGAGAAGCAGGCTTCCCGCAGAGCAGGGAGCTGGATGTGGGGCTCGATCCCAGGACCCTGAGATCATGACCTGAGCAGAAGGCAGATAGATGCTTAACACCCGAGCACCCAGGCAGCTGAGAAGCAGGTTTTAAGCCTGAATGCATGGGGGATGGTGGTGATGCCAAGGGAAATGGGGAGAACAGTGAGTACAGCTTTGAGAGGACTCTGATTTCAGCTTGGGATGTGTTGAAATTACGACCCAGGAGAAGCTGGAAGGGATCCTACTGGCATTTCAAGATGTGAGTCAGGAATGTAAAGGCGAGTTGGAGTCAGCCAGAGATTTGCGTATTCTTGGAATAGAGGTATACTGAAATTGGGATTAATGAGATCACAAAAGGAGAGAGTAAGAGAGAGAGAGAAAGAACTTGAAGTATGTTTTTCAATTTTCTATTCTTATATTAAAATAAGTTGAAACCCCAAACTTAGTGCCTTAAAATATCCTCAGCTTATTATTTTTCATGATTCTGTGGGTTGACTGGGCATTTCTACTGGTGGAGTTACTGTGGTTGCGATCAGCTGGGAGTTAGGCGCTGCTGGACTTCAGTTGGGGCCCCTGGGTTCCAACCCACAAGACCCAGCATGGCCAGCTTGGGCGTTCTCACAGCACAGCAGGCTCACGGCAGCGTGCCAAGGACTGCTACGCACTTCCTCTTGCAAAGCCATTTCTGCCATGTTCTCTTGGCCAAAGCAAGTCCTAGGTCAGCACAGATTCAAGGAAAGGAGAAATAGACTCCACCTCCTGATGAAAGGAGTGACAAAATCTCATCTTAAGAAATTTTAGGGGACAGGAGACTTTGGAAACAGTCTACCTCCCCTGCATTTGAGGTGGAATATTCTATGGGAAGTACACAGATGAGAGTATGTTTGGCTCTGCCATGGATAAAATGCTCTTCTCTCCAGCTGAAGTAGAGGCTGCTCAAGCATCCTTATTAACCCTGCTTGCCTCACATTCTTAACTTTCCATCCCTTACCTCCTGGCTCAACCCCCTTTGGATTCAAGATAGATTTCTAATTAATCTCACTGGTAACATTGGCAAGCAGGCTCAGTTTCTGAGCATAACTTACAGTGGGGACAAAAATAAAAGTATGTTTCATGGAATTTTGAAGCTCTTGTAACTTAACATGTTACAGATCCATTCTCATGCCTCGGATGTGGAAAACCATTTTTGAAGTGTAGACCTGGGCTAAATGAATCTTTTCCTTTAAGCCTTTAAGCCAGCATGGATGAAGCTTTGCCAGGCTGCACACCTGAAAATGGAGACAGCCTTGTCAAAGTGAAGGAGGAGGACCCCACCTGGGAGCATACGTGGGGCTTATGGGAGAGCAGCCGCCAGGCTCAGGAGCTTTGCCGCCTGCGATTCCGGCAGTTCTGCTACCAGGAGGTAACTGGGCCCCGAGAGGCTCTGGCCCAGCTCCAGGAGCTCTGCTGTCAGTGGCTGCAGCCTGAGACGCACAGCAAGGAGCAGATCGTGGAGCTGCTGGTGCTGGAGCAGTTCCTGACCATCCTGCCTGAGGAGCTGCAGGCCCGGGTGCGGGAGCGGCCCCCGGAGAGCGGGGAGCAGGCGGTGGCTGTGCTGGAGGATCTACAGAAAGACACAGGAGACCCAGGACAGCAGGTTGGGGAACATTTGTTAATTTTTAACTTTCTATTTTTAAATAATTTATAACTGACAGAAGTATCTGGGAAAGTAGCACAGAGAAGTCCTGTATCCTCTTCACCCAGATTCACCAGTTGTTAACGCTGTACTCTGATGTGCGCCCTCTTGTGCGAGCACTATCCCTCATCCTCTCCGCATGTGCATAGGTCTGTGTATCACACACACACACACACTCATGCTTTGTGTTTTCTTCAACCATTGAGAATTACCTGGGGACACCATACTTCTTTATGTAGGAACACTTCAGGGTTCAAGATGTATTTCTGAAGAACAAGGGCATTCTTTTGTATAACCAGAATACAAAGATCAAGTTTTAGGAAATTAAAATGGTTATGTACTGTTATCTACACAGTAGTCCTTGTTCACATTTTGCCATATCATCCCAGTAGTGGTTTTTTTTTTTTTTTTTTGGCAATTTTATCCTGATCCAGGATATAGTCCAGCATCACACGCTGCATTTAGTTGCCTTTACTTTAGTCTCCTTGAATCTGGAACAGCTGCTTGAATCTGGAATAGTCTTTCTTTGTCTGTCATGATATTGATATTTTTGAAGAGTACTAACCAGTTACTTTATAGAATGCTCATAAATTTGGGTTTGTCTTCTATTTTCTCATGATAGACTGCAGCTTGTGCATTTAGGCTAGAATCCCACAGAAGCTATGTGTTCTCCTTAGTGCATCACATCACGAGGCACACGGTGATGGGTTGTCCCATTACTGATGAGGTTAAGGTGGGGTCTTTCGGATTTCTGTATTATAAAGTTACCATTTTCCTGCTTGTAATTAATAAGTAATCCTTAGGAGAGGTTTTGAGATCACGTATATACCCTGTTCCTCGTTAAAGTTCCATCCAGTAGTGTAAGCATCCATCTGGGTTTGTTCTGTTTTCTTTCTGGGCAGAGATTCTGTGTCTGCCTTGTCTCTTGTTTGCCATGATAACCCCAGCGTGTAGAACAAAGTCTGAGTCTCAGTACATGTGCAGTCCTTGTTTACCACATGGATGAATGTCTCTGTGTTGCTCATTTGTCTTACTCGTTGCTTCTTTAAAAGACAACATGGGGCCATCTGGTGTTCTGGGAGATGTCCCTAACTGCTGTTCAGTCTGGTTCCACCAGGATGCCTTTTCAAAGTGAATCTTTTGTCCTCAGGCTTCTGTCTATACTCAGGGACAGGACATGTACCCACTGGTGACAGAATATCAAGGAGCCTCTTTGGAGTGTCAGAGCCTCCAGCTCCTGCCCAGGGTAACCACCTTGAAGTGTGAACCTCCAGAGCTCTGCCAAGGGAACCCCCAGGAAGTGAGTGGTGAGTGCCGGTGGGTGTTCAGCGTGGACGTTGGCAGCAGATACTGACAGTTGCTTTTGTATCTGTGTCCTCCACTTTTTATATTTTGTTTTTTCTTTGTCTCACCCTGTGTCTAAGCAAGCTTCTAAGGACATTTGGAATTATAAAATGTCGGAATCCTAAGATCTTCTTGTCCAATACCCTTCCCAGTAGTTGGGAAACCAAAACTCAAGTTGTTTAATGACTTGTGCAGGGCCGACAGCGGCAGAGCAACATCTGGAATTCAAGTCACCTGACCTCCTGACCAGAGGTGTCTCTGCTACATACCTCTGCTCTACACCTCTAATTCGATACTTGTGGGTGTTTTAGATATTTACGTGGCAGCTTTCCATAAACTTACCTTTTTCCCGTAGTAACATTTTCTTCAGTATCTTCCCTGCCTCTAATCTTGCGTCATTTTAAATGCAGCTTTGGGCTTAAGCAGGTTCTCTGTGTTTTCCATTTGGAATGCAGTCTCCTGTGTGCAGGGCTCCCCCACTTTCCATCTTCAGGCTTCACCTCCAGGTAAACCACCCCAGCTGTTGGTTATTGTTTAGCTCTGTGCAGGCCTCTGGCAATAGGGTAAGCCATGCAGAGAATACAAAGTTTACAGTCTGCAGATGGATTGAGAACAGAAAAAGTACACAGAAAGTTCAAAGAGGAGACCTTCGAACTCCACAGTGCAGTGTTTTTTAACCTCTGGTGAGGGGTGCTACTAGTTTTTCCCCAGAAGTTGTTGAAAACTTGACTCTCCTCCCTGGAAATTGCAGGTACATGCAAAATTATGCATACGATCTCAGAGGGTATATGATTTACCCCAGTCATGGTTACCAATCACCACGTTGGTAATCTGTGAATGCTTATATTTTGACAGTAAGTGTAGAATAAATGGTTCATGTAATAAAATCATCAGAGAGAGATGAAATGTATAGGGCTCATATTACTTATGGTGTTTACCATATCATGTAGCATAAATAGGCCTTGATATTTCCCTACTTACAAGGCTGATGGTTCTCTCATATTTCTTCAGCTATGAAAAACGAGCATTACATAAAGCCCCAGAATGGTTTGTTGATGTGAAGAAGTTGAGAGATGGTAGAGAGCCCCATAGTGGGTAGACACTCCTACTTACCTAGAAGACAATGAACATTCATCTGCTGAAAGCGATTTCATTTTGCCTGGAGATGGGAGAGGGGTAATGAATGGAGGTGGGCAGTTGTCAGAATGGTGATGATAATTGACCAAAAGATAGCAGTGGTCGTAGGATATGAGATTGTTTCATGTAAGTAAATGCTTAAAAGTTGCCTGAGATGGCTTATGGAACCAGACCCTGGGGCACTCTGGGCAGAGTGGTGGCCTCCGATGGTTTCCTGTATCCCCACAGGGAGGCACCAGCGCTGTGGTGTGTGTGACTGGGATGGCAATGCTCTCTGGGCCCTCAGGAAGCATGCCTTGGCATTTTCAAGTGCTTTTTAAAATATATATATCCTTTTAGCTCCTCCTGAATATTCTAGAGATTCTAGCTAAAGGCCTGCCTACCAGCTATAATCCCAGCACATTTCTCCAGGTTACCTGAGACCACATGAACTGAAGACCAATTTCCCAGGCTATTGGCATCCCCTCTTCCTGTGCTGGTATTTTCAAGGGATAGTAAGTCAACCAGCATGGCAAAAGGGTAGGTAGGGTTTCTTTAACGAGAATGTGGGGAAGAATGGGGAGATCACGTGGAAATATCTTGCAGGGTTGTTAAAGTTTGGCCTCTCATTAAAAAGTTGGGTGCTGGGGCATCTGGGTGGCTCAGTCAGTTGAGTTTCTGCCTTTGGCTCAGGTCATGATCTCAGGGTCGTGGAATCGAGCCCCACACCAGGCTCCCTGCTCAGCGGGTAGTCTGCTTCTCTCTCTCCCTCTGCCCCTCCCCCTGCTCATGCTTTCTCAAATAAATCTTAAAAAAATAAAATAAAATTCTCTCTTTATGATGACTTATTGCCATTTTATTTACTATGTGTCTTGGTGTGGACCTCCTTAGGTTGATCTTTTGCCTCCTGTATAAGATTTTATTTGAGAGAGCAAGAGGGAGGGAGTACGAGCTGGGGGAAGGGGCTAGGGGAGAGGGAGAAGCAGACTCCCTGCTGAGCAAGAAGCCCAGTGCAGGGCTCCATTCCAGGACCCTTGGGGTCATGACCTGAGCCAAAGGCAGAGGCTTAACCAACTGAGCCACCCAGGTGCCCCAAGAGGCTGTTTTTGATTTGTCTCCTTTTTCCTTTGTTTTTTAAATTCCACATATGAGTGAAATGATATGGTACTTGTCTTTCTCTGAATTATTTCACTTAGCATTATACTAATCTAGAGATCCTTCCATGTTGTTGCAGATGGCAAGATTTCATTCTTTTTTATGGCTGAGTAATATTCCATTGTAGAAACATACCACATTTTTTTTATCCATTCATCTGTGGATGGACACTTTGACTGCTTCCATAACTTGGTTACTATAAATAATGCTGCTTAAATGTAATGGTGCCTATATCCTTTTGAATTAGTGTTTTCATATTCTTTGGGTAAATATGCAGTAGTGTGATTCCTGGATTATAGAGTAGGTCTGTTTTTAATTTTTTGAGGAACCTCCATACTGTTTCCATAGTGGCTGCACCAGTTTGCATTCCCACCAACAGTGCAGAAAGGTTACTTTTTTTTCCTATCCTCACCAGCACTTGTTTCTTGAGTTTTGGATTTTAGCCATTCAGACAGGTGTGAGGTAGTATCTCATAGTTTTGATTTGCATTTACCTGATGATGAGTGATGTTGAGCATTTTTTCATGTATCTGTTTGCCATCTGTATGTCGTCTTTGGAGAAATGTCAGTTTGTGTCTTCTGCCCATTTTTTAATTGGATTATTTTGTTGGTGTTGAGTTGTGTAAGTTTTTTATATATTTTGGATATGTCATTTGCAAATACCTTCTATTCAGTAGTTTTTCTTTTAGTTTTGTTGATTGTATCCTTTACTGTGCAGAAGCTTTTTATTTTGATGAAGTCCCAAAAGTTTATTTTTGCTTTTGTTTCCCCTTGCCTCTGGAGACATATAAAAAAATGTTACGGACGATGTCAGAGACATTACTGCCTGTGCTTTTGTCTAGGATTTTTGTGTATCGTGTCAGAAAGTGTTGCGTTTCCTTCTTCTATATGTGGCTGTCCAGTTCTCCCAGCACCATTTGTGAAGAGACTGCCTTTTTCCCACTGCATAGTCTACCTACTTTGTCGAAAATTAATTGACCATAAAATCGTGGGTTTATTTCTGGGATCTCTAGTCTGTTCTGGTGACTTATGTGTGTATTTTTGTGCCAGTACCATACTGTTTTAATTAATACAGTTATGGAGTATAGCTTGAAATCTGAGATTGTGACACCCCCAGTTTTGTTCTTTTAAAGATTGCTTTGGTTATTTGGGAACTTTTGTGGTTCCATACAGATTTTAGGATTATTTGTCCTAGTTCTGTGAAAAATACTGTTGGTACTTTGATCGGGATTGCATTAATCTGTAGATTTCTTTGTCTGGTAAGGATATTTTAACAATAATTCTTCTTCCACTACATGAGGATGAGTATCTTTCTGATTGTGTCACTGTCAATTTCTTTCACCCATGTTTGATAGTTTTCGGAGTACAGGTCTTTCACCTCCTTGGTTAAGTTTGTTCCCAGGATTTCATTATTTTTGGTGCAGTTGTAAATAGGACTGTTTTATTAATTTCTCTTTCTGCTACTTCGTTATAAGTGTATGTATAGAAATGCAGCGGACCACTGCACCTTGTGACCTTACTGACTTCATTTATCAGTTCTCATAGGTTTCTGGCGGTCTTTAGAGTTTCCTCTATATAGTATCATGTCATCTGCAAATAGTTTTCCTTCTTCCAATACCAATTTGGATGCCTTTTATTTCTTTTTCTGTTCTGATTGCTGTGGCAAATACTTCTAGTACTATGTTGAATAAAAGTGGTGAGAGTAGAAATTCATGTCTTGTTTCTGATCCTAGGGGAAAAGCTCTAAGGTTTTCACCATTGACTATGATGTTGGCTTTGATTTTTTCATATATGGCCTTTATTAGGGTGAGATATGTTGCCTCTAAACCTTCTTGAGGGTTTGTATCATGAACGAATGTTGTACTTTGTCAAGTATTTTTTCTGCATTTATTGAAATGATCATGACTTCAGTCTTTCTGAATTTGTAAGACTTGTTTTGTGGCCCAATATGTGATCCATTCTGGAGAATGTTTTGTGTGCACTTGAAAAGAATGTATTTTGCTGTGTTAGTATGAAATGTTCTGATTGTATCTGTTAGATCCATCTGGTCCAGTGTCATTCAAAGCCACTGTTTCTTTGTTGATGTTCTGTTTGGATGATCTGTCCATCGATGTACGTGGGGTGTTAAAGTCCCCTATTACTATTGTATTACTATTAATTAGTTTCTTAATGTTTGTTATAATTATTTTAAATATCTGGGTGCTCCCATATTGGGTACATAAATATTTACAAGTAGTATGTCGTATTGTTGGATTGTTCCTTTTATTATTATGTAATATCCTTCTTTGTCTCGTTTCAATCTTTGTTTTCAAGTATATTTTGTCTGATAGAAGTGTTGCTACCCACTTTTCTTTTCACTTCCATTTGCATGATAACTGCTTTTCCATCTCTTCACTTTCCATCTGCATGTGACTTAGGGCTGAAGTCTCTTGTAGGCAGCATATAGATGGGTCTTGCTTTTTTATCCATTCCATCACTCTGTGTTTTGATTGGAGAGTTTATTCCTTTTACAATCAGTTTATTGATAGGTATGTAGCTAGAGCCATTTGGTTACTTTTTTTTTTTTAAAGTTCTTTTCTGCTCCCTTGCTTTCTTCTCTCATGGTTTGTTGAGTTTCTTTAGTGAGATATTTGAATTCCTTTCTTTGTTTTTTGCATATTACTGGTTTTTGATTTGTGGTTACCTTTAGGTTT